CCGCTCGGGCTAATAGTACCTGTCCAGCCTTTTGTTCGCCTCTTTCTCTCCAGTGTATTACCTCGACGAAGAATCTACGCCTGTGTCTTTGTAGGCGATAATGAGGCAGATCTGCTGGCAACCAGCAACTCAATAAAGGTTAAGTTCGTTATAAAGAAGCAGAATGTAAACGAACGCACTGAGCAAAACTGGAGAAATTAAATGGGTCTCGATGTTTTGTCAGGAATCGGAGGGGAAACGCCTCTTATGTAATCTCAGAGGTGGATGCGCTGCAGACTGTGGGGTAGTGATGCCATTTTTACCAGCACTTTACGGCGGTTACTCTGAAATATCACAGAAGCTTAAATTTGTGGCGTTTGTGTTATATTTGGGGAGAAAAGCAGAATTTCTAGAAAGAGACACCTCGGTACGACCAATATAAAATTAAAAATGTAAAACTGCTCTCTATTCTCCCTATTATTTTCTACAGAAACAGCTCATTGTCAGTATTTATAAATTCATAATTATTTCACCATAAAATGCTTTTTGTAAATCATTTTGACTGAAAATGACTAGTTTTGATCCCTGCATATCTTTTAGTTTGGAAACGTGTTTTCAAGTGCAAATGTTCAAGATAAAATATGTCTGTTTGAATAAATTAAATTGGTATTTAAGCTTCAGTATGTAACTTTTATAAAACATTATGTCATGAGCGTATGAGTCACATAATCTCTGGGGGTGAGAAAGCTCCTCTGTTTCCTCCAAGTGCTATCTAAAAACATCTTATCAGAGCCCACAGGAGGATCTTAGTGCTGTCAATCATACCTATATACGCGCTGCTCTCTTTGCCCCATTGCTCTTTGCTACAGTACAACTTCTCCTCATCAGCAAAGCCTGTCATGAATGCTAAGGATAGTCAGAAAGGTCACAAAACAGTTTTACTATAACGGTAAATTGTTTCTCTGCCATTAGAACATTTAGCAGTACATGAGCTTGATTGACAGCGCTAAGACACTTCTCTTAGTTCTGATTGGCTGTGTTTTAATGGGAGCCATGCATTTCTTCAGATAGTAACAGAAGCTCAGAGAGGAGATTGAGCTTTTCACAGATTATCTGTCTCATATTATTCTGTCATGGCAGGACGACAGTTTAAACAAATACTAAAAAAAAACATTTTTATAAAAGTTACATACTGTAGCTGTAATGAAACTCTTAACTTCTGTATGTGTTGTTTGATTTTGGCATTTGTGTTGCTATTGCACTTAACTAACTTTAATTTATTTTAAGCAGTAGCTTAAAATACAGTATAAGCATCAAAGAGGTTATTAAAAAAATGTTCGCCAATCTGTTGTTGTCCTTTTGTCCACCCCGACACATGATTGCCATGGTATCATGACCTCAGCCACTCCACAGCTTTATGCACACAGACTTGGCAGATCCATGATGCAACTCTGTTGATTTTTCCACGAAGAAACAGGATTCAAACTGGCAACTCTTTTATAATGCCCAACATGCTTCTAAAATAAACAAGCAACTTAGCAGTGTTCGTACTTGACCCCATTACAGCAAAGTGTTTTATTCATTTGATTGTAGCAATGTGAAGCATGAAGAAATGTGAAGGTAAACCAGTGAATTATTGTTGTGCTGCAAAATAACACATAGAAAACTGAATTTTCTATGTGAATTTTCAATAATAAAACTGTCAGCTGTGACAAATGCAGATAATGTAACAAAATCAGAAAAAGATGAATAGATAATGCAACTCTAAACAAAGTTATGAACTCGTAGATGAGTCCAATAGGGGCTCCATGAACAGCGCTATGCAGTCCTTGTCACGTTTTTATGTATTTCGTGAACATGCCTTGCATGCCCATGAAGTCATGAAAGAAAAATGTTTCACTCAAATCTGCCATGACGCAGCTTGACTTTTATTTACTGTGCACATATTCTCTCAGGTTTCACACCCCCACCAGGCAGTGGGAATCAGATGAAGCGCGATCTGGGCAAACCATTCGCACCGTTTATTTTTAGCCCAACTTGATTTGCATACGTTTCTAGAAGAATATGCCTGGCTCACAATGTGGAGTCAGGCTTCAACAATACTGGAGTAGTATTGCACATAATGCATTGTTTTGACTGACAGACTAACATTAGCACAGAGCAACTCCAAATATTATTAAAACAAAACGTGACTCTGAAAGTGTTGCAGTATTAATATTGTATTGGGTGTTTAGATCACACATCACTAATTTTCTATGTGAATTTTCAATAAAACTGTCAGCCGTGATGAATGCAGATAGTGTCAAACAACATAATCAGCCCGAGAAGCAGAGGAATAAAGGTCAGTTTTGGTTCGGTAATGACTTTATTAGGAGCAAACTGAATCCATCCTAACTCTACCGACAGCTGCAGGGCTCAGGAGGAAAAACAAAGTAACTGTGCATCTGATAAAATCCGATCATCTGGGAAATTATTCTGACTTTCCCGCCCATTCCCCAGAGTATGTTAGTGCACAACCTTTACACTATAGTAAACAGATACAAGGTGTGGCCTGCCTGACCTTTCTGTTGACATACAGGGAAGAAACAGTTTTAGAAACCTACATGTACAACACATTTTACTCTGCAAAAGTATCTCAGAAAAATCTAAACACACAATTTCGGACTTGAGTGTCATTTTCAAAATTTGTTGTGTTCGAATGGATTGAGTGATGTACATCCTACTAAAGTAAACGTCCAGGTGGATAAACTATAAGGCCAGTAAATAAAGAACAAATGCAAGAAAGTTTGAGTCCCAGCATTAAAGCTATTTCAGCGAAAATATATTGCTCGTGTTCTTGTCTTTTTAAATATAAATACATTTTTTCGAAAGCAGTGAACCCTGGAACCACTAGAAAGAAAATGTTGTTTTTATTTTTGTTGGACTTTTGGATCTTGATTACAGTGCTTTGCATAATCAGGGTTTCCTCCAGTGTAAAATAAGCCAGGCGGGCCAACAGGCTTTACTTGTGCCCCCACCAGGCTAAGCATTGCTTATTTATTTAAGTTATTTTTTAATGTTTGCATTTTTTGAGACTTTATAGTTGGTGTTCAGGTAGTAATCTGCCAGTCTTTTAATAACACATAATTATCAAGTGATATTTTCAAATTTCATGTCAACTTTAAAAAAAAAAATTTAACTCAAAAACACGACCAAACGCTGAATGATGATTAATTTAAAATAATTAATTACTTTGTTTGCTTAAATGGTTTTTCTTAATTACACATTCTAAATCCTTTTGTTTTGATTTTGAAATGACTTCTTCTGTCAGAGCTGCAGTCATTACCTTAAATACCACCTTGTTTTCATTCCTCATTACATGAGATAAAAATTTCATCTCTGATTTTTCTTTTATTGCTTTTGCAACTTAAATGGACTCAAGTCAAAACCTGAGAGTCTGCCTGCATCTGCATCATGTAGCAGACCTCCTTTTCAGATATTACTGAGCTTTAACTGCAATATTTTTCCTGCTTTTGCAAGGAATAGACTGAAGTTTCAGTATGGAGATTTACAAACATGGTAGAAGCATATATCAAATTGTTTAGTTGTTATTCTATCTTTTTTCCTTCCACTTCACAAAAATACACTACTTAGCTGGTTCATCAAATAAAATACCAATAAAATACTTTGATTAATAAAATATATTTAAGTGGTTGTAATGTGGGAAATGTTGAAGGGGTTATGACCACTGTTAGTCTCTCAACCCTCAAAAGTTGGATTTCATTAACATCAAATTACTTTCTGCTTACTGGTGCATTAGAGACTTTTTGTCCCTGTTTTGACAAATCAGGTAGATTTACACAGTATCTTTGTATCTGCTAACTCTACACTGAGGGAGGCTGCTTTTCGTAAAGTGTCTGAACAATTTAAATAAAGTAGAAATGTTCTGGTACCCTTCAACAGATTTATGCCTTTAGACAGCCCTACTCCTCTCAACATCATAAATAGAAGTGCCAAAACATTAATGTCTGATTAAATTAGAAATGTAATAATAATAAAAAAGTTAGTATTATTCAAACAAATACTTTTTATGATTTACAGAATAAAATAAAACAAAAAACAAATAATTGATGGGGAAATTAAAATTTTCCATCAGCACTGTATCTGATTTTAAATTAACTAAATTGGTACTTCAATTCTGATTTCTGCCTGAAATAATCAATAAAACCACAAAGCCTGAAAAGAAAAGTACTAGAATTACTGTACTACACCAAGTCCGCCATGCTTTACAACAAGTGTCCAAACGTTTTGGTTTGTGGGCCAAAATAGTCAATTTAAAATTATTTGCAGGCCAAAAAAAAGAAAGAAAACTAAACTTAAGCTAATAAAGTAGTCATTTTTTTGTAGAAAAGACAAGTTATTCCTTGTACAACAGAATTTTTGCATGTCTTCTGTATTCAAAGAAAATAATGTTTTCAAATTCTTTTGTTATCATTATAAGAAATTTATTCTAAGTTAAAAGAACAAAATTTTAAATTTTTGCTAAATTTAGAAAAATTTAGCAAACTAAATAAAAGCTGATTTGGGTGCAGCAAAGTCAATAAAAATCTGTGATATATGCATGCCTCTACTTATTTTAAAAGCTTGCTTATACCTAACTTTTTCTACAATGAGAAAATTACATAGTAATTTACATAATACATTAGAATAGCATCATTCTAATGCTATTTTCTCTTTTTAAATTTCACTATGAGATAGTGTGAGGAGCAGATCTTCACTTAAAAATGTTCCAGTTTATGCAAAACCCTTTCAATAATCAAGTCATTCTGAGTCAAATTAGTGATAATGAATTACTATTTTGTTCCAAGAAGAAGCTCTTGGCTTTATAACTCAGCTGTAAAAATTTGCTCACATTAGTTAACACTACATAATATGAAGTCAGAGTCCGACTAAAAAACCATGTATCAAATTCCCATGCTTCCGTTTGCAGCGTTCAGTCTGGAGGTGTTTGACATCCATCCAGGTGAGGCCGGGTGACTCACCTGCTCGGGGCTCATCCAGGCTCTGGTTGTCTGACTTGTCCTGCATCAACCTGCGTGTCCATCGCAGCAGCTCACCGTTCACGCCTGGCTGAGGCCCGGAGGACTTCGTCTCTGTAACAGAACAGCAGCGGTCAGTGTAGGGCGAAGCCAAGCACATGCTTACATTCAGTGTGGAGGGACTGTGGTTTCAATCGATGTATTTATTGGAACAAATAGTTGTAACTTGTCACAATCATTTCCACCGGGCATGAATGAACAGAATCATCTTTATTCTATCGCCAAGCCATGTGTCCACTGCTTTATACAGGTTTAAAAAGCCACTTTGTCTGACTTTCTTGTACACATTCCCACAAATAGCCAAAAGATTTAGAGTGAAATTGAACAGATTTATTCTCCATCTTGTAATTTATATTCCTGGCTGAGAGAGATAGCGGTATATTCAGTGATGCACTACAATCTCTGTGCTTCATTCTTCAGTAGTTTATCTTCATGTGGTTTTCAGTCACTACAGGCTTTTGGGAGGCAACAGCCAAGAAACTCCCCTCAAATAGATCTGCCTCACCATCCCAATTATGGTATAAAAAACACAGACATCCTTCTTCACCACCCACAAAGATGCTTCCCGCCAAGGCCACAGGGATAAAGTTATTATACTCTCCATCACATCGCAGTATTAATATGAAGCAGCCTGTCTGTGTGTCTGATGCACTTCGTGATTGCCAGGCGCTGCAGTGTCTCTTTGTACCTCACAGCTCAATGAGCCCATTTCACGAGGCCAGCGGTCGCGGCCGAGAGGAGACCTGAGGGCTTTCATGTTGAGGCATCAAGAGGAGCTCGACTCGTATGAAATTCAAATAGGTTTCTGCCACAGATGGCTCTGCGGCATTTTCACACTCCTAACTGGGACAAGTCACCTAGAAAACCATCTTATCTAATAATAAAAAGGTGAGCAGAAAACGTCATGTTTGCTCGGTTTCTTTTTTTAGATTCTGAACTCGCTGAGGTGAGTAACAGACTCTTTGGGATGGAAAGAGGATGAGATGCTTCATATGTTTGCGAAAAACAAACGTTCTGGCTCCAAATGCAGTAAATGGCTGGCTCAGAGAGAAAGCTATTTAAAGATATCCCTCTGGGAACATAAAGTCAGATTTTCCTTTATGCTAAACAATTATTAGATGCAGCAATCATCATATGAATGCAAAGGCTTTCAGTGAAATATCTTGGAGGATATTTTTTATTACACTCTTTTAAAGGCGTGTAATACAAATTTGATTTGTAATCAAAGTTAAACAGGAGTTAGCTCAGTGCTAAATGCAAACCTCCAAAAAGTATTTATGCCACTTAACCACAAATTTGAATTTATGGTTTTGGGATTTTATGTCATAAATCAACACAAAAGAGTCGAAATTAATCATGTCTTTTAAAGATTTTGACAAATGAAAATGTAAAAAGTGTTGCATCAATTTTTGTTAACCACCTTTACTGTCCCCCTTTACTCTGATACCCTTAAATAAATAAGCTCTAAAGGTAACTACTCACAATACACTTAGCTATATGCTAACTAGCTATTTGCTACTTAGCATGTAGCTTAACCTCATAAGACCTACGTTTCAAATCTCTGCCTGTATATTTTTGCTTATTTTAATTGTACGCAGTTTATTAAACGTCCTATGAGTAAACATACATATTGCCCACTTATCCATGACAACTGGACTTTTCTAGCAAGTTATTTTCGCAATTTACCGAGCGACCCTCAGATTAATTTCACCGCCAGCTACGCGGGGGTGAAATTACCGTAATAACCCGATGTTGGCTTAAAAACGCAACGTCTCCCCTGTCAGAAACCGTTGGAATTTTTCAGATAGCGCAAAGTGTGGCGGAAACACGGTACTACAAATTTGGCTGGATCGTCTACGTCAAGTTCGGTCTGGAAGTTAAGGATTAATGAAAACCAAGGAGCACAGCAGATAGGTCAGAAAGTTGTTAAGTTTAAAGAAAAGTTAGACAATGCCACAGCTCAAGCGTTTAACATGCTGTGCAGCAGGAAGAAATTAATGAGGAGAGCAGTCAAAGTTCGTGGTAATTTGGACCTGCAGAGAGGGAGAAATGTAGAAAAATCAGCTATATTTCATGAGCTCCACAATTGTGGACATTTGAATTGCGGCAGGGCTTTCATTCCTGAGAGAAAGCCCGAAGAGGCCCTGTTTAATGTTTTCCACAGGTCATGTGGAGTAAGTGCTGTGGTCATATGACAGCAAATTGAACTTTCGGGTCAACATCAGGGGTTTGCAACCTGTGGCTCAGGAGCTGCAAGCAGCTCTTTAGACCCCTTACTATGACTCTGAATAACTTTGGTAATTAAAAACTGCTGGCTTTTGCTGTTTGGGCTTTTCATGCAATATATGCAAAACATTTTCAAGGTTTCCCCCAGAAATCTTGCTAAGCCTGGTGGCAGGAGTGAAAGCTGTAAGAGACCTGAGACTGAGGTGAATGATTGTTCCAAGAATAGACAAAAAGTTCACTCTCCAAATGTGTAAAACATTTTGATAGAGACCAAGACTCAGAATACCTGAATACAAATGAACCCCTCTTTAGATTTTTATTTGTAAATAACCGTAATCAGTAACATGACAATATGTGAAAAAGTTCAAGAGTTATAAATATAAGCTACTTAAAATGACTGTCTTCATTTTGACATTGACCTCTGACCTGTAAGATTGACATGACTGTTATAGTGATTGTTGGTATACATGACAAAACTTAGTTCATGAAATGTAAATATAGGAGAGCGGTCCCAGAACAACCAGAGATAAAATCTGATTTGTAGAGTTTGTATGGAAATAACCTAATCCTGTTTTTAAAAGCTGAATAAAGACTGCAGGTGCAGAAATTACAACTAGAGTCACCTAGTTGTAATTTGCTAGATTAAAAAAAGTTGAATAAATCATTTTTGTATGAGGCGGTAAAATAAGTCAGAAATCTTTACAATTTTCTTTGTTAGAGAAATTAATTATTCTAGAAGTTATTGCGATAAATTATAGTATTGTTTCTAATTCTGAACCTAAATCACTTTATATAATTAGACTTTATTCTTCACAACTATAATAAAAAACAATTATCTGGAACAGGTAAAAAAAAATTAATGACTTTAATGATTTATAAAAATTATCCTGCTAACGGCTATTTATCTATTCATGGCAACTATGGAGGCAACATTAGTTTATCAGCTTTTTAACAAAAACTGTTTAAATGTTCAATAACTTACTAACAATTAATTAACAAAGATGCATCACAAAATGTGTTTTCAACCAGAAGTGACTGATTTTCAGGTCGTTCTGCTCTGACCAGTGATTACCTGACAAGAAACTCAAAAATATTTCTTTTTTCAACAATAATCCGCCACATCAAAGCGCTGACAACATTCTGCAGAGTCAGTGTGATAAAATGCATCATATATTGAAACGCAATTGTTACTCTAATCACATCAAACTCTAATCACATCAAATTTAGTATTACTAAATTTGTTTGTTTTATATTATAAGCCATATTTTCAGCCTTCTTATCACAAAATGCCAAAAAGCTTCATGTCATGCTAACATCCTGCCTCTTCCCAGCAGCACCATTGAAAAGGAGATTACTTTTCATTTTTACTTTTTACTGTAAAGTCACTCAGTTGAAGTGCTGCCTCTAATTCCCATTGTTACAGTAATGGTTCAAAATTACCTCTTCCTTCTTTGTTTTTGAATCAAAAATGGTTGATATATTAGTTTAGTTGACATATTTTTAGGAAAAAGTTAAATATTGAAGAAATAAATGTTTATAGTTTAACCCAATGAGCATTTATTGATCTCATAAACTTCTTCTTAAATAATTTGTTGTGATTATTAGGCAGGGAAATATATTATTCATATTCTTTTTTCTGTTTCATTTGAGTGAAAGTGGCATAAATGTAAGGTCTGATTCAGGTAATTTAAAGTGTATTGACCAATTCAGATTCAGTATGAAAGAGTTTTACTATCTGTAAGGTAACAGACCATATTTAGTAATTTTCCCTGTGATCCAGATCTGTGTTAAAAAAATTTACTACCTGTTTAACCTACTGGATACTTTACAGACCAACTGGGACACTAAGTTTTCGACAAAAGAGGAGGACTGAACACAAAGGAACATGGATATTTCAGACAAAGCTGCTATTAAATGCCATTAAACAGTTTGTGGACATTTATGGCCTCACAGGTAGATAACAAAGTAATAAATAATGATAAGGCTTTTTGTGGATGATATAAAGCTTTCCGTACACACATAATGCAGCAGAAACGAGTCCTTAAATGTCAGGCAATGAATCTGATCTGCTTTCTATATGCAGAGCGAAAAATAAGACACATAAATCTTTATGAGAACATTTTGATCTCAAAAGCTCCTAATTGGTGTGTTCAGCAAACTTTAAACCCTTTTTCTGTTCATTAGGTTTTATGTTCTTGAGTTTAAACACCAAGAATAATAGACTTGTTAATACTTTCCCCAGTGACTGCCAGGAAAATTATGTGACAACCTCTATGACTAATATTTACAAATAAAACACTGAAAGAATAAGCTCTGTAAAGGCTGCTTAATCAAGAAGAAACTACAGTAAACCCTAAACTACAATGGAGGACTTAACATAGAAAAGTAACTAATCAACTATTTGCAGCATCTTTAAAAGGAGTTGACAGTGCTTGAAGTAAATTTTGTTGAGATTTTATTTAATAAACCAACTTTTAAGGTGATGCATGATTATGAAGGAGAAGGAAACAAAGAATTATGTAGGCCTATCAAACTTTGCTGAACAATAAATTGTCCCAGAACGTATGCGATAAACTGTAACATTTCTGTTTTATGAACATGTTCATGTAATATAATAGCAATAATGGCATAAAATGCAAGAACACATTCTTAAAGATCAATAAACTTGAAATTCTAATGAACATTTAAATACTTGACTTTGGAGAGGTTTGGGAAATCCAAAATAAAGAAAGAAAACAAGAAATAAAGTAAATTATAAAGTCTCTGTAAACAAAGTTACATTTCAAAAAAGGGCGACTAAAACACCAAACTGAAGACTTTTATCATCCAGTTTTTGTTAAAACAAAAGAAAAAAGAGAGAAAAAAATAAAGTAAATTAAAATGATTGTATTTCTTTTAATTTATGATGCGATTATTGATTTATTGTTTACTGTGACAGGCCTAGATATATAGTTAATTTTCTTACTCATAAAACTCTAAAAAATGTGATATGTATCAACCATCCTGAGTTAATATTGTGACCTCTGACTGCACTGGAAATCTTCTGGTTGTGTTTTTTTTTCCCAATTTCAAACACCTAAACATTCTTTACAAAGTTACCCAAGCTCAATCAGACAGGATGGAGCACTTCCATGAGCCTCATTTCTCAAGTCGTGCCACATTTAGATCTGGACTTTGACTGGGCCATTTTCACACATGAGTACTGTTTGATTTAAATAATTTCATTGCAGCTCTGCTTGAATATTTATGTTTGACTTGAGGGTGAACCATAGCTCATGTCTCAAGTCTTCTGCAATCTTCTGGATTCCTCTAACTAGACTGCTTCACAAAGCAGTTATTTGTGATGTATTTTATTTAAAGGTGTCAGATTAAAGAGGTCTGACTAAATAAAAGTTTGTATTATTGTCCATCTACTTCACAAGGATGCTACTTTGTGTTCCCAACAGACAGAGATCTGTGGTTGTGATGCAACAAAATATGAAAAAGTTTAAGGGGAATGAAGCCTCTCCCAGAGCACTGTAAATAAGCAGGTTGATTAAATTTCTGCCTACAATTACATTACATAACCAGTAATCTTCATCTGGAGCATACCATACTGAATCTTTAGATAAAAATCAAGCTTTCTAATCTCTGATGTCTAATCTTTGGTCTAGTTGAAGACCAGGTGGTTTAAGAAAGCAGAGAATCATAGATAGCTCTTATTCCTTCAAGCACATTTCCATAAAGGTTTGTTTTTATTGAGCTTAGTAGCATCTTCTGTAGGATTTGCCAAGAGGTTAACACTTTTATGACAACTTCAGTTAACGTCAAACATTTGTACTTTGCAGAATCATAAAGGTGTGCCTGGGCTATTAACTACTCAAATTTACTGTGGCATTTATTTACTGTTAACTATGACTACTGCAGCTCCTGATAAAAAAGCGGCTTAGACACGGATAGCCATAAATGGCTACAAAAGCTGTGTTATTGTGGACGCAGCAGCATGTCTAATATTTTCCAGTATTGTTCTGCCTGTCACCATTACAATCAGCAGACCACAAGCTTTGCCAAAAAGGTTGGAGCGAGCAGCCTTGGTCTGTGTTCAGAGAACCTCTTCAGGTTGATGGCACACTCATAATTTAAAGGTGAAGCATAAATATTAATGACACGGCTCATACAACGGGACGCTCTGCCACAAAGGGATGGCACGCAGCAGAAGCAGGATGAAGCCCAAATGGGAATTAAAACACTCCTCGCAGAAATGAAAAAGTTCAGCTACTCAAATCCGTTGGATGCGCACGTGAGGCGAGGGGGAAAATGGTGCTGAAGCATCTGCTGAGGATGTGTGTGACAGTGTGTGACCACATCAGCAAAGGCGACGAGTGGATGACGAGCTGGAGAGCGAGGGGGTGAGGTGACGCCTTTAGGGGCATCGCTGCCACATTTCACATTTCCAACACATTTCTCTGGGCTTCTATGCAGAAAGTAAATATCATAAAATATCTGTCATTTTATTGTTTATCTACTGAAATGGCTTCTACTAAAAATAGTCATTGTGTTTTGTGAAAAATCATAAACAGATAATATAGATTTGAAATATCATAACAGCAGTTGATCATTTTAACAGCTTAAAGGCAGAAAGTATGATGGTTCTGCTTTCAGTGTAGCTATTTGTGCAAGCTGGATGGATTTGTGCCCATAATTAATTCAGAGCCTCCTGAAATGATTCCAACCCTGCTGCAAAATAGGTTTATTGCCAACATTTAACACTTATTCTTTGAAGTAAATAAAAGATAAAGATTTCCTTCAAAAACAACCCTAAATCCAGTTCCATTGACTACTGCACAATCTAAATCACTTGTGACAAACTCAAGGTCCGTGGGCCAAATCTGGCCCGCCATAGCTTTTTATGTGGCCCTACAGATTCTAAACACTAATTAAATATTATGTAATCAATCAAATCAATGCAGTTTTTCTCCATTTACTGCCAAATTACATCAATCAGTCCCTCTAGTTTCTTGAAATTTATCTTGGAAATTGACATAAAACTGGCAACTTTTTTGCACTTTTACATAATTTGGAGTTTATTGCAGATTTTTCTCAAAAATAGTCAAAAACTTGCTTACCTCTACTAAACAGCTGCCTCAGCCTTCGCTGATGTCAGATTTTAATCCATAATCTATAAAGTGGGTAATAAAATGTCTCATGTACCGTCATAAACAAGCACAAATGTCGCAAATATTTCCAAATTAGTATTTGGTATTGCAAAATCACAAAATGTATCACAAAATCCTGGAGGGACTGAAAATATGTTCAATGATATTTAATTTTAAGGATTCATTGATATTTTTAACAGCTTGTGAAAAGGTTTTATCAATACATTGATCAATTCGTGATTGTGATTTGTCCCAAAACGATGAGTGTGACACCCTGATCTAAATCATTCAATGCCCCCAAGGATAATTCTTCATAACTTTTGCAAACAATATGTGGCAATCAGACGCACTCGATGCAACCAATCAGATGCTTAGTTAGTTGAGATAACACAAAGTTTTATTGCGTGTTAGAAATAGGGTCAAAGGACTAAGAAGAGCTGAAGGAAACTTGAACAGCTGGATTGTTTTCAGCTTTACAGTTAAAGGAATCTTGGCTGGATGTGGCAGGAAGTGGAACCACCACCAGATTCCTGAGGAGGCTGATGGTCAAAAACTCTTCCCTGACAGCAGAAAAACCTGCACAGGCTCAATGCCTGAACTCCAGGAAGTAAAACACTTATGAACCAAAAGCATAAAACATAAAACTGCCTCCCAGCTGAGTAAGAAAGCCAAGAAGTTTTAGGATTCTGTGAAGCAATAACTCAAAATGTTAACTTTCGGAGCCAGCAGTATGTCTGGAGGAGAAAGAATGAATCACACCATCTGCAGCAAAGCATGGCGGTGGCTCAGTGATGCTCTGGGGCTTTTATTTTTTGCTGCATTCGAAATCAGCAATCTGTGAGGAAGATTAAGTTTGGACAATGATCCAAAACATTTCTCAAAGTGAAACAACATCAACGATGTGAAGACGTCTCTGAATCATGCAGCAGGTCATAACAGCAAAATGTGCTGCAGTACGATGCTCCTCCAGGATGGGTTCATTAACTCTGAAGACACTAATAAAAATGGCACTTTTGTGTTAAATTTAGAGAAATTGCTTGTAACATAAGTTGTGTTGCTTTCTAAATATCTGATTTATGTGCAACTGCAGATTGTAGTGACTTAGAAGCTAAAACTGATAGGGAAGAAAGAGAAGAGCAAGGAAAATGGGAGGTAATCAGATTCCCTTTTCAAATTCTCTTCATATTGTTCCTCCCAGATTCTGTCGTACTTTTCCAACATTTTAAACTCCTTTCAAAAAGAAGCAAAAGGAAGAAGCAGAGACATAGGAGCATTTTCTGCCCTACCTACTGCTGCCCACGGCCAAATGAGAGGATGAGAAACACAAACTTCCCCGGCAAAATGAGTGACACGAAACACCGTCATGATATTTCAGCAATCATTTTACTTTTACTGTTTAAAAAATAAATAGCTATCTATCTACATATATAGCCACACAGATGTATATTTACACAGGTTAGTCATGCCACACGAATCATGGTAATCAAGTTGTTTCTGTGGATTAATTAGATTTTTTATAAATTTAAATCAGGTGGAAATCAGGATTCTGTTCACAAAATCAGTTTGTTTTGAAATAAGTCATACTTTTTAAATTGATCATTTTTTATTATTAAAATCCACCCTGTTTTTCATATATGAAAACAGTTTGCTCATAAAACAATGAGTCTTTAGCGTGCATCGTCATCGTCGGTTTGTCCTCTGAGCTAAAGATAATGCCCAGCCTACACCCCCAGTGATTGGATTTACACATGCCACAGTTTGTGCCCGCTTTGTATGATCAACAATCTGTCACCTCCCTGCAGGGTGAACAGAGTCAATCATCCCAAGAAGCCCAGACAGAGAGGCTGAGGGATGGGCTGCAGTCATGTCAGGGAAAAACTCTGCAGCAGCAGGGCGTGCTGCTGGAAATTCAATCTAAACTCTCCAAGTTCAGCTTGTTTAAAAGGTCAAACATTCAACCTGACAGGGAATAAAGAGAATGCATATCCTGTTGCAAACCATCTGATAACATTTAAGATTTTAAAAGGAAGATATTGATTTACTTCTACTTTTAAAATATACAAAATTGCACGTTTAATAAAATGAATCCATATATAACAATAAAAATGAACTAATATTACTATTAATACTACTAACGTAGCACAACATGTACTTTTGCTCGTCTTTTGTCATTTTCACTGCAAATAATTTTACACAGTATTCAGATTGGAGTATGTGTTTAAGCACTAACTTATAAAGCTGGAGTCAGAGTGAACTTCAGACGCAGCCGTGCGTCCTAATTAAGGTCTCACCTGGAGCCTGCAGGACCTGCGCGAGCCAAATGACGGCGACCAGCCCGACTCCGCAGCAGCAGAACCGCTGGAAGGGCCGCCGGTGCCTCGCTGCCGCTTTCATTCCTCCGCCAGCTGCATGTTCACCAAAAACATCTGTTGCTCTCTGTCTTTACACTTGTTTCACACTTTCTTGGAGGACAGCGACGAAACAAACCGCCTCCTTCCTCCCTCCCTCCCTCCTTCTGCTGCTTCTCTGACAAGTTGGGTCCAAAAGACAGAAAAGAGAAGAAGAAAATTCCCCCGCAAAGACGAGAGCCCAGTTCACTCCGAGCAGCTCCTGGTTCAGAGCAGGAGGCGCCGAGCTGGTGAACTCCGCCGACCGCCCTCCTGGTCGCACATAGCGAGGAGACGCGCCAACGAGCTTTCTGCGTTCATGTGTGTAGCCTGAAAGGTCGACTGCAGATCCCACAGTGAGGTGCAGCAACAGGAGGCGGTATGTTCCGAGCACTGTGTTCCTGCTCGGGGTGTAGTGCTCATCAGTGGCCACCAGGGAGCGACAAAACGCAGGGTGCGCAATTCAAATCAAATCTACTTTGGCACAGGAAGTGTTTGGCCTTACCCACATTCTGGACGCAAATGTGTCCAAAATGCATATAAGTGATGACGTAGCAACCAAAAATGCATTGTATTATACAGCTATGAATAAAAAAATATAGACTGTATAACGTCCTTTTTTTTCTAACCATATATGGATATTTAATATAGATTTTAAAGTGACAGTATATCAAATTAAACTTAAAAGAAATGTAACTGAAATTTAAAACCTAAAAAAAAAAAAAGTAATTTTTCCATAAAACTGATACATAATAATTCACAATACTGAACAATTCAGGGGTAAATGGGGCTTTTTCTGCATGGTATTACAATATTTTGCATATGAACATTCTCGCTGAGTACTTTGGATTCATACCACACTTTTAAAGATGGCTGCTTTATTTGTCTCTCTATAGAGCGATTGTGTGAAAACTTTTGCGTATAAATGGACTCCTTTCACCCGACACTACTACCAACATGGATAAGCCAAATACATATTAAGATTGGTGGTGGTAACAAAAGGCCAAAGGCCACGTTTGCAGCCACAGGTACAGGTGCAACAGAAAAGTGTGGAATAATCAAGAAGTTTAACAGCTTGTCAATGGAGAGACAAAACATCAAAACTTGATTTAGGATAGACAAAGCATGAAAAAATTATAATTAACAATACAATGGCCCTGATTTCAACTGTGTTAAAGATTCATGACTGCTCTCTAAAAGCCAGGTCTTTTCCAGGAAAGCATGCAGTTTGTGAGACTTTTACAGATAAGGCATTTCAATCCAGAGTTATGACTGAAGTTTGGTGACTTACACAGTCTGTGGATCATTATATAGGTTCAATAAATTAGAACCTGTGCTCCAATTAGGTAATTTTTTATCAAATTAATTAAAACATTTCTGAAATTTTTTTTTTTACTGGTCTGGCATGATACTCTCATCCTAAATGTTATGTTTTCATTAACTGTAAGTGGAATATCAAAATAAAAGCTTGAAAACATCAACAATTGTGAACTGAGTAATTGAGTATTACATGAAAGTGATCATTTATAGTTTTGAGAAAAAATATAAACCTCTGAAAGGCCCAAATATATTTGGTACCTTTCTTTCATCTTGAGTTTTTCCAGTAATGCAAAATAAAAACCACAAGAAATAAAAGGCCTCTTGATGTTTTAGCACCTTGTCATGAAGAGACCTTCCAGAATCAGAGAGTGGATTAAAAAACACAGCTGCAGCTCTGCCTGCGTATATCTGTACAAAATGTACACAAAACCTTTTGCAATAACCTTACAACAGGAATAGTCTGGACAATGTCTTAAATAAAAAACTTAAATCGACTCCATTTCTTAGCAGTGAAAGGAAACAATCAGTAGAAGTAGCCTCATGTGTCTTCAATCCTCACAAAGAGTCCTGGTGTTTGTCATTCTTACTGTTTAACTGCACAGTTTATGACAGGAGTGGTGGATTTGTTATCACCAAACGGGGAAAGCTACATAGTTATGAACTGCATCACTTATTAACAGAGTGCATGCTTTAACAAACGACGGCTTTTCTTCATTGAAATCTGCTAAATATGATTTCTGATTGGAATCAATCAAAGCACAATCAGTAAGCAATAAGATGTTGAAAAATTTCCACATTCTCCCAATTTTCTAGATGAAAACTTGGTATGAACTCATTAATAATGATGAAAACTTTGTGTAAAAATGAAAGAAGAATTTTGGAGCAAGATGATCCATTCAGATCCAATTTTACAAGGATGACTTGAAAAAATAGCCGACAAGAAACTTAAATTTTCTTAGTGGCAGAACGGAACAAAGTGAAGATTATGTTTATGAGTTTTGCAAAAATAATGCAAAAATAGAAAAGAAAAAAGGAATGGACACATCAAAACATAAAGACATCATCAAATATATTTTGTATGCAGAAGCAAAAGAAAAGCTCTACAAATTTGAAGAGACATCTGGAAGCAAGGTAGCCTGAAAACTATCCAATCATAATTATGCAAAACCTGAAAACCAAAGTTAATTTGGAATAAATTAAGTCAACTAAAACTGGACTGAATCCTAAATGGCAAAATGATAAAACGAAACATTTTTATCAAAGAACATGACTGAAACAAAATGACATGTGTGTCAAACTTAACTCTGCTTAGAAAACACAATCTCTTCTTTAGTTGCTCTCATTCCATCCAGCAGAGCGGATATTTTCTGAATTTCACCAATAACATCTTGATTACTCACTTTTAATAGAAGATGCTGAACCTTTATCAGTTATTACTAATACCTGCCTGCATGTCTTCCATTAAAACATTTACTGATTCCCACTCATTATACAACTCTCAATCCTCCAAAACATAGGTGAAGATGCCAATTTTTTTATTTAGGGACGGCATTTTAAACTCAAGAATCCATGTTTCATCTCATCTTGTTTCTACATTTTATGCATTTCAGTCCCCAGATTTTCTCAACATCACAGACTTTTTGTTTTAAATTTAATTCTTTAAGCAAAAGAAAAAGATTACACTTCAGATACAACACTGAGTTTTTTTTTTTTTTTTTTCACATAATTCTGGAAAAGTCAGCGACACTGTGCAGAAACTGTGTGAACTACTTCTGGACCAGCAGTCTGACGTGTAAACAAAGTGGATATAAACAAGAGCACATAAGCAATTACACTCAAAATGAGAAAGCGCTCCTGTCCAATTACGTCTTAAACCTAAAATCAAGCCTGATCTGCGGTCAGCAGTGCGGTTTGTTTCAGAGATTTATCTGTCATCTCTGCTGGAGGGATGCAGCCAAAACACAACATGAGGTATGAATTTTCCTCCATTAAGTTTCTGTTGACAAACACCAGGCAGGTTTTCAGCTTGCAAACTTAGATTACACATTTGTCTTAATTTCTCTGCATTGAGGGCAAATTGATTGCAGGAATGATCCCAAACGCTGTGAGGACGTTTCAAAACACACTTTGATCCTACAGGTTCTGCTCTGTAAATTTAGGACTCAAAATGTTTAATTGGTCAAAACTACCTAACTCATCCTCTCAGCATAAACTCAGAATCTGTGTTAAAGAAATGACTCAGTAGATTTTAGAGTAAAACATTTGAAAAAATTATTTTTTTCTAGACACAAGTGAATTTAGATAATTTAAACTAAATGGATAGCAGTGTATCTTTATTTACATTGTGGCATGAATGTTGCGTATAATTACAAGTGATTACAAGCTGCTATTTAAAGTTAACAATTGTACAATTTAACTAAATTGTAACATCTGCTAATGCTGTTTGCCCAAAGTTTCCATGCCAACTTAGCTTTTGTTAGTCTAGCTTAGCGTTTCTCAACGGGGACGGTACCGCCCCTCCAACAGGGGGCGCTGGCGTAAATTTTCACAAATTGGGGGCGCTGGGATTCCTTTGGGAGGCCTTTGCTCGAAGGTAAACTTAACACCTTACATGCACAACATTACCAGTTTAAACTTTGAGCAACTTGCTAAAACAGTGTTGTGTATCATTAAAACATTCTTGGCTGCAACTGTATCAATGGCGGCTCTTCTTCTCTTCTGTTTCTGTTAGCTTTTCCTGCTAATAGCAGCTTCACCGGTTCAGTTGAGCGACACCAGCTGATGACGTTGCCGTGATTCACTTGTCTGATATTCAAATATTTTATGTTTTATTGAGGATTTTTGTACATATGTTTGGCTTATATTAAAACGTTTTTTATTGTTCATCTGGATGGAATGTCCATTTATGCTGCCATAAATGGACATTGAAATATCGCCATCATTATGTAACTAAAATCACATACACTCACCGTGGATCCCTCAGAAAAATTCACCAATTTAAATAAATCTAAAAAACAATATCTGTTCACGTTGCTTTTCTGTTCATCGGGAAATTATTTTTGATAATAAATACAGAAACAACCATAAAAATCAATACATCAACAATAGTGATAGTAATATTAATAATAAAACAATATTCAGTGCAAAGAAGCCTACAAATCTTTGTTGAGGGACCTGGATAATGGACAGGGGGGCGCTGGCCCAATAAAAATTAAGAAACACTGGTCTAGCTAAATAAACTTCCACAGACATTTCTCAACACCAGAAGATCTTTTGGGTCAACAGTTGAGTTGTTCTTTGTAAGCTTTGAAATCTGGTGCAAATGTTTCCCGTCTTATTTATGGCAGGAACTGTGAAGTGAAGAGATGTTGCAGGCGGACTTTCATCAATCCTCATCTATTTCTTGTAAATGGGGCCACAGTGGTCTGGCCATTTAAAACGTGAGACACAACCCTGTGACCTGGGAGTGTAAACACACACTCACAAACCAACACATTACCTCTGTATTTACAGAACAGGGATGAGTCGGGCTGGCTCTAAGCACTTAAGCAGCTCGGAGAGAGGACTCCAGCGCTTCAACCCCAAATAAAGACATGAACCGGTGCATTGTTGTCATCAGCTGTCCTCCTGTTGTCAGGCGCTGGAAGATGAGTGTTTTTCTCTGGCGGGTGTTTAGAAAAGCTTTCCAGTGGACAAAGTCCTGGGAAATGTTTGTGTGATGTCTTTGTGCTGTATTATGATCACAGAACGAGCTTCGGAAAGTGAACGCATCTTATCTCACGCTTCATCAGTTTCAGTGAGGTGACACTGCGATTAGTCTGGGATTGAAAAAATAAAAAATAGAAACACCGTTATCCCACATGAAAACCACACCATGCTTTCATGTTACAGCAGGAATACAGAAATTGAAAACTTTTTGTGATACTTCTAATGTCAGGGAACTCGGAATAGGTGCATGAGAAAACTTTACAGATATTGTTGAAAATGCAGATGCTGTTATGTTTCAGTGTTGTCAAGGTGGAATCAAATGACAGTGGATAATGGAGTGTGGGAGAATGGATTTATGGAAACCAGGGCAGCAAGACAAATAGAAACCAGTGAATTTCTATAAAATGAAGAATGATACTGAATGCAGGTGAGTAAATCATGTGATTAGGAACAGTTGCTGAATAATTACTACAGAGGGAAATACTAGGAGTGATAAAAGAGCAATAGATCCAAATAAATGCACAAAAAACTGAAACAAAATTAAGCTGAAGTAGTTAGTATTTAGATGTCTAAGGCTGGATCAAAACATCCTCGACTCTGTGTGAAAGTTATCTTTTGGAAAATGTAACATCTCAAACTATAAATCCTGACATTTCTCCTCATCTTTTAAACTTCTTTTTTCTTCTTGCTGACAGTGAAATATTGGTCTGGATTACACAATAGCTTCTGTTTCCTAATATTGGAAGTAATTTTCTTTTTCAACTGGATGTTATCAAAATGTCCAAAATACCGCCCCCCCACACACAAACAACTGAAAGAAAAATTGTAGTGTGTCATGCAGAGAAGTCAGAAATCAGATTTGGAATATAATGCAGCTTGATTGTGGAGAGATAAGTGTGTTTAAATCCTGCCATGGATTCATTTTAGCTTTGGAACAAATTCAAACCTCAGATTTACAACTAGTTCCACAGAAAGTTAAATATCCTCTAAATGTAAAGAATCACTACTGCATACTGACTAAGTTTACATAACAGCAGGTTTTTTTTTTTTAATCTAAAATAATCCAAATGCAGTGATCATGTCTACAAAGCTCTTATTTAGCTTCACGCCGATACATGTCAAATTGCAATCTTTAAAGTAATGCACGGTTTTTTAAGCTGGTTTTGAGCTACTGGATGCACATTTATCTCTTCTTTGAGCAGAAATAACAGAAACTTTGTTGTGGATTTCTGTCTCTCTTAAAAATGTAAACAAAGCGTTTTGTCCCAAACACACGTAGCCAACGCTTCTCTTGTGACCGCTATAAGAAGAAAGACGATGCTGCTGGAAGCCACATTTGTAACAAAAGGTAAATATCGTGTTTTTAAATCAATTTATTTGTTTTAAAGTATGACTAAGGATCTGCTTTCTGGTTTATCTGCATTTGTTTCTCTGAAGGACCCATTGACATTCATCTCCTTATGATCTTGTGCAAAATATCTTCTTGTCATGTGCAGCTTGTTTTTGACACATCACATCATCTGGGCAATTTATTTTTCTGACAAATACCAACATCATTATGAATACATTATTCGTCAGAGAAACGCTCAGAGCTAGCCTCTGAGGGACTTTCATGTGAAGGTTGAAGTGTTGTTCTCATTCTTTCTCTCTTCTTACTCAGTGTGTATTAACCTTTACTCTGTGTTGTAACAAGATCAAGATTCATTCTGGCCAGGACTTTTCAAGCTTCAACAGAAAATAAAGTGGATTAAATCTGATCAAATAATTTATTTTAACTCATTGCATGACTTGCACCGTTTATCCAAGTGATGTAAATTCACAGTATGCATTCTTATTTATCAATAAGAATGCATACTTAGTCTTATTAGGAATCATTTTAAGAAAAGATCTTACAATGTCCATGAATTAAAGTGACACAGTGCTGCCCCTCCCCCCCCATGTTGCTGCACACAGCTGTCCAGCCTGCAGAAAGAAGCATGTTACATTTTTCTCCTTCCTAAAAAAACAACAAAAAAAGCGCAACATGACAAGAAACATCTCTGGAAAGCAACTATCGGTTTGCTATAATTGTGAATCTACAAATAAGCAAGTTGCAAGTTACTACACATTTTTGTGCTGACATGCATTTTCCCCGAATCCAAAAACTAAAAACAGATTTTTCATAACTATAATGATCGATGTTATTTAACCATTACAATGGAAATTGCTTCAGCTCATTATACACATCTTTGCTTAAAATTGTTAACATCCTCATATTGTGTTACTTTCACTGAATATGATTTTATTAGTATTTTATAAATTTATCTAATAATGCGAGTAAAATGCAGCGTTACCCCATTTGGTGTGTGATTATACATACATCTCGTGTTTCTTCCAGTGTGCCAACTTACTTTTATCTTCTATTCAGCAAATCGGATTTAGCTGTGACCTTTGACACCAATCATCTTGTTGCTTTCAGATGCTAAGTCTGGCCTCCCTCCCTTTCTCTCTCTGTTGCTGCTTTTGTTTGCTTTACCTTCACCGACGTAACGTCTGGATAAATTCACTCAACTCCTCTCAAAACTCGTAAAAACAAACAAACTGATGTGAAGTCAGTGAGTAGCTGTTTAAACTTGTGTTTTAATTATTCTCTGCTTCATGAAAAGTAAACAGAGCCACAGGGTGAACAGATGAAAACTAAAGATTCATTTAAATTACAGATACAGTACATCTTAGGTTCTGGAGATCTAGCCACCTGTAATTAGAGGCTTTTTTTTTTAAACTCCAAACCTGCTAGATTTTTTTTTTCCCCCAACTAATCTAAAAATGACAAACATCCTCCACAATCGCTCCATCATATCTCAAAGTCAGCTCGACAAACGTCTTAGTATAATCTGCTTTGGGGGTATTTGTCAAGCATCTGTATAGACTTTACATGTAACTAGGTTTAACCCGCTGCACTTCCAACTTAGGTCAAGAAAGTGCATGTGATGCCCAAATCTTTCACTTTTTCCTCCTAGTTTTATTTATTTTTATTGTTTTATTTCCACAGACAGCTCATACAGGAACATTTAAATACCTTTTAAGGAAGTACAACCCATTCATTTCCACTCAACCATCATTTTCAGCACTATTTGCTTTTAAATGTACTTTTTAAAAAATCTATATATATATATATATTTTTTTTAAACAATCTGAACTGCAAACGTGGCACCCGATGACTTTTCATCACACTAAATGAAAAACCAGATGTTATGATGGGCCTGGAAATGTTCACTTGCCAAAAAAATAAAAATCATATTTAAATTATTTAAAAAATATAATAATAATACAAACTTAGTAAGTGCAACCAAATGTAAAAAGGATAAAGCAACAACAAAAAAAAAGGTAGGCACAAAGTCAAGAGTAAGCTTTCACATTATGCCAGTATGACCAGTTAGACCAGTTCCATTAAAGAAAGAGGGAATCCATTCATTAAGGCATACCTGATGACCATATTCAAGTTAAATAATTCAATTCCAGAATAATATTATCACTTATAACTACATTATGTTTCAGCAATTATCACTTCATTTTACATCATAGCAATTTGTTGTCTAGAAAAGTAAAGCAAAATTTATAACACATTTTCTCCACCATAGTTCCCATTTCTTTTTTTTCTCTTTTTTTTTTTACACCTTCAATCCAGTTTGAACAGCTACAAGAAATTCCACATTTGCATTATTAATACGTTACATTTTTTAATACATACACACATACAGCAGGGGAGGCTTGGAAGTCGCTTGGCACGTTGTCATGCTCGACCAGTCTCCTACAATCTAAATAAATATACAAGACACAGTAAAACGGGTCTTTCCCCACCTCTCCTTTTAAATAACGAAGCCTCCGATTAGCGCTAATCGTCCTGCAAAAAGGAGAGCATGCTCAGTGCACCAACGTGGAACAAAGGTTTAGATTCCCAACTCACTCCTCATATGCTGGTACCAGTTATTCACAGTGACTCAAAAAGAAAATGACAGGAAGTTTGTACAAGAAAAAAAAAAAAAAAACAGCAGTCTTGAGCGATGTTTGGCATTGCTTTTTGCGGGTGCGTTTGTGAGAGTTCAGTTTATCGGTTGTTTGTTGGCGGTCCACCTCTGAACACAACGACTCCATCAGCAGTGGAGACACATTAATGAGGGAAGGTGAGTGTCGGGGGTGGAGTTGAGATCTTATGCACCTTCTTATGTTGAGCAAGATATAATGTTATAATTTTAGGCAGGCCGAATGGAGTTTGGTGTGTGACATGTCCAGTGTTACACTGACAAAAGCAAAGGTGCAGGAATGAGACGTAAGCACACAAGCGTACGTTTAGATTAGAGATGCACCGACTGGACAACTGTGATCAACTTCCAGTTTCTCTTTTAAAAACTGTCATATGAGAATATACATGAAAAATGACTCAAAATAGCTACCTTTAGATTTCCTGCTGTGAAAGGGGAATGCCAGTCAGTTCGGCATTTCATACCTTCAGGATATTGGTTGCTCTGAAGTCGACTTTTTTGTGTACAAAATGGCTTCTGAACAACAGAAGGGTGTTTCGTACCGCTGTGACAGTCAATGATTTAAAGTCAAATTTTAAAATCAAGCAACATCAACCAGAGAAAAGTCACTCTGATTGATTAATCAGTTATATTTGAAGAAAAGGAGAGCAAAAAGTTATCTGAAAGAATTCGGAAACAGAATTGAACCAATGTGTATTGATGGTTTTGATCATTTTACAATATAATGTCTGTCACTGGTTTCTCAAATGTGGAATTTTTTATGTGTTTTTATGATGTAAAGCACTTTGAACTACCTTCTTGCTGACATATACAAATAAACTTGATTGATCAGTTTAGCATTACTGAAATCAGTCTCTTCTGGGAGCCTGTCTCCTGTCTGCCACTAAATTAGGACATTTTGAAATATTTTGATGTTTCAAAATGTCCTTACTTTTATGGTATTGAACATAAATGTGAACAGTGGCCTCTATGCATTCCCTATAGCAGTGATTCTCAAATGTTTTAGAATAAAAACAGCAATTACTAAGTTTTTCACACAGAATGACGTGTTAAAATAGCAGCGCAGCAGCAATTGTACGCTTTTAGTTTGATGTGTTAAGTCATAGAAAATAACAAAAAACAAAGCAAAAACATATTTCCTTTCTTATCCAGAGCACAGATGTTGAAAAATCAGTTTCAAGCTGGACAGATTAACAAACAGGCCCTTAAATTAGAATTACAAGTCAGAAACTGTGGGGTGTCTCAACAGCTCCGGTCTCTGAAAACAAAATGGTCGCCTTAATTGCATATAAAATTCACCAACAGCTGCAATAAAAATGACTTTCTTTGCACCTCTGATGACATGGATTTTGTTAAAACTGCAACACAATCTCCTCAAGTGAAATTATATATGAATACGTTGTTTTTATTGCGTTGCAACAAGTAGTGACCCTGGATACAATAAGCAAATCAAGCTGCTTTTTAAACTTGAAGCTTGTGGTTTGATTACATTCCTAGCTCCAAGTTCTGACTAACGAGGTGAAATAAACACAGCATCAGCGGGTTTTAGTTTGAGAATCACAGCGCTGGGAAGTGTAGACTCTAATTCGAAGTCAGAAATTTCTTCTGGCAACATTTCCAAATCCAGCATGTTCCCTGACAGACAGGCTGAAAGCTCAAAATAATAAAACAAACAATAAAACTTCAGTGTGATGTTGAGCTTCTGTCAGTTTAATATTTTATCAAACTGAAACAACATTCCTGTTATGAGTTGACCTCTCAGCTCATTTTTGTACCCAAAATAGTTGAGTTTGAAGCAACCAAATGGAGTGAAATGCAAGCACCAGATGTCAAGCTTCCTACATCTCTGTGATTCCTCCACCTACTTTTAATCGCCTCGTTGTTACTACAAATAGCTAACTTTGATTATCATCGGGTCAGTGACAACTTCCACACTGAAGAGTGATGTTAGTGAGATCTGTTAGCCCTTAGCTGCATTCATTGATTTTAAAAATGTTGCATTTCTGAGGTTATAACAGGCTGGTCACCAGTCAAGTTTGGTAAATATCAAACTTATTTGATTGTGATCACCGTTTGGTGAATCTTTTTTGGTGCATCTCTAATTAAGAAAATTTCAAAGCACTGCTGCGACTCTCCAGCTAAAGTAAACAATTACCCAAATAGTTACATCAGGAAACAAAACAAAAACAATTAAACACAAACAAAATGTGTTTAAGTACAGTTTTCTGCATTATTCACCATCAGTCCAGGTTGCTCATTCTCACACCTAAAGCTATTTTGCAGGCTGAAAAATAAGAGCTGCAGTTCAGGCCAGCAGGAGGCGATCTTCTACTGTTATGGCTGCTACAATAGTGAGGTTAGAAGATAAACAGCTACAGGCAGTCATGGAAAGGAAGCTGAAGCAGTTTGTTCCTGCCAGAGTCTGAATTTTATCTTTTCAATTTCCTCTTTACGGCGATTTTCTTTTCAAATCCAAAAAAACCCAGAAGAAACAAGCAGCTTGAATCTCTGTTTTCAGTCCCCTCATTTTCCAGTTTTCTTTCCTAAAGCAGAATTGCCTAAATACAGTACGACTAAGAAGTGAAGATAGAGGATAATGTCCTTACATAACAGAGCTCCCTCAGTGAGCATCATTACATGTTTCTAAGAAGAAGGCCGCCTGCAGTAATTTAAATATTCATTTGTGTGTGTGTGTGTTAATTTCAGGCCAACCTTCCTGTCAGTGCCAGGCAGAAAACACACTCAGAACCTGCAACGACATGTAGCTTTACTACCGTTCACATATATTACCGCTGATACTGCTTACTATGTTTTATACACTTTTGGTCATTTTTCCATTAGACACCACAAAAACATGCGATACAGTGTCTGTCTTAATTGAAACCTCTTCTGTAAGTGCTACTTAGGAGAGCTTGTCAAGTATTTGAAGCAAGAAAAATAGGCACACACACACACGCACACACACCAAGAGAAGCACTCTACAGCAGCCTGCGAAGGTCAATCTACACTTTTTTTTTGTTTGTTTCTTTTGCATACTTCCTCCCCAGCAGGCAGGACCACACTTGTGTGTTTACTTTTGCAGCTATCTATACATGATCAGAGAACGTTGTTGGGCACGGAGGCGCTCAGCGGGATTTGCATCATGGGGACCTAACAGGGCTTGTTGACGTTGCACAGGAGCTCAGTGACTTTGATGAGGCGGGCCACTGTGCTCTGCGACTCCTCCTGCAGCCGCTGGTTGTTCTGCCTGAGGCTCTGCACCTCGGCCTGCAGCACCGCCTTGTCCTCTTTCTCCTGAAAAACATCGGCACACAACAAAGAACAGAAGCTGTCGCTCAGATTGCTGTGGCAGGAACGAGAGGTGGGTGGCGACAGGTACAGTGATGGCTCGAAGGAAGCTCGCGGGCGTGCGCAAACGAGAGACGCGACAGTCAGAGCAGAGACGCACAGCAGCAGCAGCGAGGAGGAATAAACTCGCAATCCCAAAGCACCAATCAGCTGATCCGATCAGTTCTCTGACAGGGGAGATTTTGTTTTGATTCGAGGTACCAGACGAAAACAACCAAGCTTTTGTTGACTTTTACTGTTGCATATTGTTTATTAAATCAGTTTTTTGTGGGCTGACGGTCAGATGAGCAAGCACCTTATCAGTCACAATGTGCACAGGGCTGCAACTAATGATTATTTTCATGATCAAACATTCTCATTGTTATTTTGCATTCACCAAATGTCAAGAATGATTAGTAGCGGATGAGCAAAATCAAACATTTCCGGAGTCCCAGGTGATGTTTGGATTGACTCCGTTGTTGCAAAATAGGGAAAAGCAGCAAATAATCACATTAAGTTAATCATACAAACCTTGTGTGCCCACTGTGTAAAAGGTAAATAGAGACAAAACATCAGTTTAATATATTATATAAATATGCAATGCTCTAAAATGTGAAAATTGAGACGTAAGATCATTTCAATTCATTTTTAACTTGATGCCAAACCTTTGAAATTACAGAAAAAAAACCACATCCATTGAACTTCTTCACATATTACAAAATAAATAGCAATTTAAGTTCTTGCTGGTTTTTATGCAGTGTATAAAGAGAACAGGATTTCAAATGTTTATAAATAAAAAAAAATCAGAAAGTATGGCATGCAGTTTGTGAAAAGAAAAGTAAAAAAGAAAGTCCCACATCACAATGCTGCATTTAGTTGTGTCTACTATCTTCTACTCTTGAAGTCAAATAAATTTAGCGAGTTTTAGATTTTGATGTGCGAGTTTGTGAAAGAGAAATTAAAGTTGTGTTAACTTAAATTTTTTTTAATAAACTAGTTTTTTAGGTTCACACTAAAATGATTTTGTGTGAACCTTAATTATAATGTTTAATAAAATTCATGACCAGATCAGAAATTTCATTGATGCAATTTGAAACAAGAGTTTAAATTACTCTAAAGTGAAAAAAAGTAGTTAGTTTAACTTTATACTGTGAGTAAAAGTTTAATTAAGTGAGGGCAGTTTTTCCTTGCATATTGTAAAATAATTATTTGATTTAAATTGCAAAATTAAGATAAAAGTCACAATTAATTAACTTAAAAAAACCAATGCTTAGGCAACTCGTCTCTTCTTGTTAAATCAAATTAAAATGTTTTACAGTGCAGTGCACTCTTCTGGTTTCCCTAAAAGGGAGATGGAAAACCAGACCTCTAACTGGTTTCCTCCAAAAAGGCCATAATAATAAAAATGGGGTCCACAACAGATGAAAGTCCATCTTAAACTGGTGATACTTTTGCCACCGTAGTTGAGAATCCATTCTTTAAAAATATCACGTCATACTGCTGCTAATTACTCTTACAAGCTATTACCAAATTAGCCAAGTTTTTTATCACTGTCATGAAGATATGCAGTTGGCATCAGGTTTAAAATGAACTTATTTAACAATATATCAAAGTTAAAAAAAAAAAATTGCTCACATGTCATTTGCAGGAAGCCAAATATCACTATAATTTTTTTAATTGAACTAAATCAGCAGTTTTCAAGGTTTTTTGAATCTCATTCTAATTATTCTTTGGGCTTTTGTTGCTTTTTCACACATTTTTTAAAATCAATTCTATCAGCTGCCCAAAACAACAATCTGTGCAACGTGTCCCTAAAAATAAGGGACATAGACAAACAGAGAGAGGACAAGAAAGGAACTGTCAGATATAAAAACAATTTACAGCAGGAAGAAAATGCAGCAAAGACCTGACAAGTTTATCATTTACTGAAGACTTACTTTGGTTTTAGTAGTAGTCAGATTATGCCAGCTTTGTTAGTTTACAAAGATTTAGCTTAACAAATTGTGTAGAATTGGTTCTTAGCTTTGTAGCAAAGTTTAGGTGATGTTTCTGACTTAATGAGCTCAGACTTATGTGTCTAAATTATGCCTGATTACACCCAACTTTGGGGATTTAAATAGTCAATGCATAAATTAATATCTACTGTAAAATGAACTCAAAAGAGTAGAGATTAAACAGAAAATATTTTCAGGGGCTGCGACACCGTCTCACATCTTGCCATGTTGTGTTGAAGAATGTGTTTCACCAAGATTTAGGTAAGAGGAAATGAAGGGGATTTTTTTAGAACATCCAAGTCTTGATATGTATTTGAAATAATTATATAATTTCCAATAGCGCATAATTGGACTAACGGGTGTAAAAGTCACAAAGTTCTGCTGGGTCAGGACACGATATGTTATTTTTGTTTGATCTACTGACAATAATGGAGTAAAAGTTTAATGCTCTATGAGTATCCCTAGTGATGAGATAAGGTGAAAAATAAAAGACAGTAGGTCATGCTGTCAGGTTTACTTTCTCTTTCAAGCAGCCAGCATCCTGAGGTCAGTAAGTCTTCATCAGCAAAAACAGTGTTTGCATAGTTTTGTATGAGGTGAAATAATGGTATTATTGGGTTATTGCTGCTTTGTTTGAGTAGCAGTTGTGCAAATGCTATAACTGAGATTGTTCTGATGAAATCGAATGAAATCAGAGTCGAATTTGTCGGCATGTACTAAAAACCCACAATTGAGGTAACCTGGCCATGAGATTATTTAAGCTATGATGTTTCAAAATGCTTTGGGAGGCAATAGTGGAGTTTTTTACCAGAACTAAAATTTTACTGGTGATTGCTGGAGAAAAATGTGAAAAAAATAAAAAATAAATAAAAATGCTCAAACATAATGAATAGGGAATAATGGTCCATGAAAATATAACGATATAACAAATGGCTCAGCACTTTTGTTATGTATTTTTTACAAGAAAGAAAACTTTTCTCTATTTTAAAATTTAAAAAATGGTTAGCTGTTTAAATATTTATATCCAGTTTCTAAAATTACATTTTACACAGCGTGCTCTCTCTCTCTTTCTGAAACAAGGTTGTAAATGAATCAATAAAAGTCAAAATTATACATTAAACTTCTTTTAATGATGTACGTGTTTGAGGAGCTTTTCTGTAATTAGCACTGAGAGATAAAGAGTCGGTAGATTGTCCAGAAAAATAGCCATTATTTCAGTAAATAGTGAAAATAGTCATAGTTGCAGTCCTCATCAAAGACTTCAAAATAGAATTGAATTGGGAGAAATACCATGCATCATACAGACAAAGACATACACAGAGACAGTATTTGCAAAAATACATTTTCAACACAAGGGCCACTTATATTTGGATGACCAAGCAGCTCCATCTGCTGAGTGAGGCCATGTTGTTGTTGTTGTTGTTGTTGTTTTAATACTTCTTTTAGTTTTTAGAGAAGTGGACTTTGTGTTGAAATTGAGTTTTTTTTAAGGCAGCTGGATCTTATGTCCAAAAGAAGCCTTTGAGTTCATCTCATACAGTTTTCTGAGGCATAAACAAGAAAGATCAACAGAGCAGCACAGACTCATGTTTGGTGGAAATGTGCAGGAAAGAAAGTATTGAAAAAACAAAACAAAAAAAACACCAGGACTTCTCATAAATACATGTAAAATAGCAGAATACGGGGAAAATTACAAAAATCAGGAACGTTTCTGTACACAAAATAATAAATAAATAAACGTCTTTTTAAAGTGTTTTTTGTTCTTTTTATAATTTAATACATCTCTACAGCGAATCAGCAGGGGACCTGAAGTGGCTCGTCGACGGCAGGATTTCTAACGGCTGCATCAGCAAACAGAAATCTTCTCGCTCAAGCGACAGAAGCTGAGCAAAGGAAATACTTTTCTCCCACCTGCTGACTCTGTTAGTGGAGCTACAAAATACTGTCACAGAGAATAACATTCATAGAAGTCAAAGCACCTTTTGCAGGTCATCTTGCAGCTTCTTCAGCATGGCCTCCAGCTGCGACACCTTCTCCTCCAGGTGGCCCGGAGAGTCACTGCAGCAGAAACAGGAAGAGCAAACAGCTGAAGGGATTTGTTACAACAAACAAAGGCAATGAAACGACTTAATTTGTTTGATTGGTGCTGTGGTCTGTGCTAAGCTGAGGACTTGGCTCCTTTTACCTCTAATGAAAACAAGAACACCTTGGAGGTTAATTTTCATTTATCACCGACGTCTGACAAGGAAAGCCAGTGAGAGTGATTGCTCTCATCCTGAGCTGCATTTCTGCAGGACTGCAGTCATAAATAATGACTGCAGCCCTTCACAGGAGTAGAATAATAGCACGGTTGCATGGTTGGGGGATTCAGGTTCACCACGTTTAAAGCTGAAGTATGTAACTTTTACAGAAAGTTTGTAATCATGCAGATGTGATGCCTGTTCTTCTTTAAGAGAAGAATTTTGCTGCAAAATTCTGATTAAATTTTCTGTCCTCTGCAGCACAAATATGACCAACCTGTCCTGAAGATGTAGATACATGAGTCATAAAGCTAAAGAGAGGGGAAATTTATCTAATGACGTTGAGAAAATTAAGAGGCCTTAGACATGCTGAAGTCCTTCACACTGTGCGTGTTTTGTCGTGACCCACCTGTCCTTTGAGTCTTTGAGTTTGCTGTCTGTCTGATCAGCGCCACCTTGAGAGGAATCCCCGGCTTTACGGTCTGAGAAAAGCAACATTAAGGACATTATCATCACATGGGCAACGTGGAAAAGGTAAGGTCGGGTAGTTTTATTTACATAGCACATTTTCAACAACAAGGCAATTCAAAGTGCCTTGATGTGAGTTAGAGGAAATACAAACAAAATATTTCCAGCCTGCCTCTCTAAGGCTGGGAGACTGGCTGGACATAGACAGGATTAACCAGAAAAGAAGCAAAGAAACTCGGAAAGAGCTGCAAAACCTCACAGCGGAGATCGAAAAAATCAATCAACAACTATTAGGCAAGCACTTTATAAATTTGGCCTTTATTAAAGAGTAGCAGTAAAAAAGCCATCGCTGAAACTGCACTGCAGCATAAGCTGCTCTGTTTGCACTTTGCTAACACTAATGCAGCGAACGCGGCAAACATATGGAAGGATTATGTTTGATAAGAGGAGACCAAGTCTGAAGTTTCTGGACAACCTGCAGAGCGGTATGTCTGACAGAAAACTGAACGTCACCCTGAACACGTTATCATGTTTTTGGAAGCTTTTCACCAAATCTGACTGAGCTGGAGGGTTTTGACAACGAGCAACAAGAAAACAAGAAAACTTTTATCAATTTTACTGAAACGGGCTGAACACACATGAACACCACATTTTTAAACCTCCTACTAATATGAAGGGATTCCCCCAGTGTATTATAAGCCTGGCGGGTCACCAGGCTTTACTTGTGTCCCCACCAGGCTTAGCATTGCTTATTTATTTAAGTTTTTTTAATGTTTGAATTTTTTTAAGACTTTGTAGTTGGTGTTCAAATATTTGTTTTCTAATAAGACATAAGTATTAAGTGTCATTTTCAAATTTCCCATCAACTTCCTTAAATGTGCCTAGCAGAAAATTGAAAATAGTTTTCCTTTCACATGGGTGATACTTTATGATAGCCTCATACATGTTCGCATCATAAAATGTTTAAATATGAAGAAATATGAAAAACCTTTCAGGGTTTGAATACTCCTTGCATAGAGTTGCTTTTATTTATGTGAAAGCATGTTGCCTTCCCAGTTTAGTTCAGTAATAATGGATGAGATTCCTTTTCTCAGTTTCTGGATAACTGAAGCGGGATAATCTGAAATGTTCACTCGTCAGGTTCTCGCTTTGGAAACTACTTCATTGTTTTTAGTTTACATTTTTTCCTAGTTATTAAAAAATTCTGATTTCTAATCTAAAAATGTTCTGATGATTAAAAAAAATAAAGCACCAAAGTGTATTTTTATTTATCACATAGCGTGTACTGCATGCTGACTGACCATAAGAGGGCAGCAATAATAAGTAAAAAGCACAGGAATGATGCTCTCTGAGCTTATGGCGCACATAACTTCAGGAATGATCTGTCAAAAAACATAAAATATAAATTATGAACCGTGCATGACCTCACCTTCTTTGGACAAAGCCTCCAGGATGCTGCGGCAGGCTGTCGCCAGGTCGGCAATGGACTGCCACTCCTCATCTGTGGAATCTGTCGTCTCAGAGAGAACTACAAGAAAACATAAAATAAAATAAGAGGTGAAGATCTATCATCACACTATATGCAGCATCCTCTGTGACTGTGGGGTATATAGGACAGAAAAGGGACTGCAGATGTCGCACGCATCTGTTGCCTCTGGTCTTGCATTGGCAAAAATCGGCCGCTAGGAGGCGGTGTTGCTTTGATGCTGGACTGTAGCTTGAGGCCAAATATCCCAAATCAGGAGCAGCGTGTTTTTGAGGGCATGCCTATAAAAGTCTTGATGTAAATGATTACTGGAAACCAAAACCAAGAAGGCGGAAGTAAGCTCAACTTAATTCAGATTTCTTTCAATTATGTGAGTAATTGAAAGTGTTTGGGGGTTTTTGCCCTAAAAGCCTCCAGTTGTTACGCTTCACCTCTTGAATTTTCTAATTGAGCTTAAAGTATCTGACGCATGTGAAAGTCCTCCAGACTTCCTGTTAACAGACGTTCTGCGAAACAATGAGAGGAATCCGAGGAGATGATGAGCAATCGTGCTCTCATGGCTGCAGAACGAGGATCTCAGCAGAGGCACAGCAGATGGTTCAGGAAGAGGGGTTCCTTGATTTGCGTGGGGAGTGGGCCCGCCTGAAACTCCACCCCTCACACCACCCATATGTCCCCCCTTTTATTCCTGCCCGTGGCGGAGCAGGGCAGCAGAGCAGGGGTGATATTAGATTAGCGGCACGGCGGGCAGCGCGTGAAAGAGGAGGAACAAAGAGGACGCAGCAAGCACTGCAGGGGGGATAATGAAGAGAGGGATTTAAGGCAGGATGGGACTAAAAAAAGGAATTTAAGGGTCAAACCAGGCAGAGATGATTTGCAAACATGTGTAATCGTTCCATTTTGGCATCATTTGAGCTGCTGTGCCAGCTGCTGTCTTGTGATAAAGCTTTGTTTTGAACTTATAATCAGGTTCATAGTGTTTTTCAGCACATATTACTTTCTAAATTCACTCTAACAGATCATCCATTTTTCTGGAAACCCCCAAAAATATACTGATCAGTGAAAACTGTTTCCTTATAGATTTGTTTTTGTTTTTCTTGTCACGCTTGAATGCTTCAGACCATTAAGTAGATTTCATAAAACATAAATAATGTGAGTAAAGAAAGGAAATTATTTTATTCTTTAAGAGAAAATGGCTAACCAAACCAACTTGGTCCAAATTGAAACAGTAAAGCTTCCTCGTTTTCAAATGATGAATTCACCTGAAAGCTTTGTTAAATTTGACCAGCAGCCCAATTACAACCAGACCTAATGAATTAAACAAGCGTTTAATAGAAATTATCTGACACGTGAAGTAGATTAATAGCAGCACAAGCCAAAAAGTCTCAAGAACAGATGATTAAAAAAAAGGTTACAGCATCATTTCTAACACTTTGGGATAAGAGCCATAATCCTAAAAGGAGAAACACTGAAACAGCAGTGAACCTTCAGAAAAGTGGATCACCAACCACTTGGGTCAACAACTCATCCAGCAGGTCAACAAATGACCCAAAACAGCGTCTAAAGAACTGCAGCTCTCACTTGTGAGGTCACAGTTCACGATTCAACAATAAGAAGGGGACTGGCGATAAATGGCGAACATTACAGCTCCAGGATGGAAACTGGTGCTCCTCGCCTCATCTCACATTTGCAAAAAAAACAAAAGGAAAAACATCTTGATGATCCCCAAAAGGTTTGGGAAGATATTCTGTGAATGAACGAGGTTAAAACTGATAAATCGTTTTGGAATGTGTTTGTCTCTTTACATCTAATGCAGCATTTCAGAAAGATGACAGAGGCAGTGAAACATCGTGATGGTGGCGAGAAGGTACCAGGCTGTTTGTGTTTCTCTAGGAAAACGGCAACATAATAACTAGAAACACGAACTCTCAAGCAGAAAAGCTTCACTGACTGATTTTGACCTTAAAACAATTTGCATTACGCTGACCAGAAGCAGTACAATCAATCCTTCACTGAATTGCTCAAAAAACGTCAATAAAAGTGTTGGAGTGGCCTAGTCAAAGTCTGGACTTGAATCTGACTGAGATTCTTAAACTTTAATATGGCCGCACTAAAACGATCCTGCAGGTTTGTTGATTTGAAACACTTAGATTTGACCTAAAAAACAAACAAACAATGCACTGTATTGAACGTGATAATCTAAAAAAAAATCCCGTTTTTAGTTTATTTCTAAGAAATGAGAAAGCTCTTACTCTTGGTGATGGAGTGATGCAGACTGAGGGCTCGTGAGTTTCTTTCTGCTCGGTCTACACTCGACAGCCGGGAAGATAACGCAGACGAGTCACTCGCTGAAGCTTTGTCCTCGCCAAAGTCAGTGGCCAGGAACTAAATCAAGAAGCAGACGGAGGTCAAAGTTTACGTCAAACGTGTTGAACAAGCGTCAGGGGGAAACGTAGCTCAGGTGTTGTGGTCGACCTGCTCGTCTTCTGGGGGAACTTTGGGCTTGACGGCCAGGATCAGGTCAGGCGTGGCGTCCCTCAGCTCCCCGACGTTCTCATAGATGTGGCGTTTCTCCTTCATCGTCACGTTGTCGTACACGTGTCTGTCCGTCAGGCAGAAACGTAGCAGGAGAATACACAAAAGCAAATCTTTTGATCCAATCCAGTGGTTTAAACCAAACCTCATCGCCAGGAGAGCTTAGGTTTTCAAAGATCAAAAATAGCATGCGATAAGTCCAGTCAAATCTGGACCTGCTTTAAAAGGGTGATAAAAATCTAACTCGGTATGAGGAGAATCTAAAATTATCTGCGTGAGTGTTTCCTTTTTCCTCCCCAGCAGCTGACAAGTGTGATTGAAGTAATTAAACAGGCTGACACAGATTCTTTGATACTGAAGAGGATGGGAATTAGAGCAGAGTGCAGACGACTTAGATAAGCACTTCAATGAAAACAAAGGTGCTGCTGCGCCATCATCACATTTCACAATAAGGCTCAGTATTTTAAAATATCTGCAGCTCATCTGAGCAAACTGCAGGTCCTTAGAGGTTTAAAGTTGATCTGTTTTATTCATGAAAAAAACAGCTTTCTATTTGAGATCATCAAGGTTTCCCTTGTGCCCCCACTAGGGTTAGGGTTAGGGTTAGGGTTAGGGTAACTTGTTAAGCCTGGTGGCTGGGTTACAGGGTAGTCATTAATCCAGAGGCCTGTCATGTTTTTGAGTTAAAAAATGTTTAAAGTTGACAGGAAATTGGAATATATCACTTGATAATCATGTGTTGTTACAAGATTGGAAGATTAATACCTGAACACCAACTATAAAGTCTTAAAATAAAATAAAAAAGCTTAAATAAACAAGCAATGCTTTGCCTAGTGGGGGCACAAGTAAAGCCTAGTGGCCCGCCAGGCTTATAATCCACTGTGGGAAACCCTGGATCATGTGTCCAAGTTTCAATTATCTAACTTCTGGTTCAAGTTGAAGAATTTAAGTCGTTCAATTTTGGCTCTTTTACAGCAAAAAATGACTTAATTACGTTTTAAGCTAAGTAATGATTCACCAGATGATTGTCTGTAATGTAGTTTGATTCTTTTGTATTTCAGAAGAGTGAATAAATATTTCCTGTTTTACAAAACAAACATGAATAAAGATCCAAGTTCAATTAAATCATAATTGAAAAAACTACTTTCAACAATGTTTGATCACAATCTGTGTTTGATTTTAAAGCAGCTAAATTAAACAAATGAAAGTTTGAGATATCTTTCTCTTCGTTTTAGTGAAACTTACCCATCGCAGGTGTCTGTGTAGGACAACTGCTTCTCCAGAGAAACGCTGCGGCTGAGCTGAGAGATGCTGATCTCTTCGCTCTGATTGGCTGGCTGGTCCTGCAGCGACGTAGCCCTCAACAAAGGTAAGGTGGGCGGCGCCAGGAGCGGGCCGGGACTCTCCTCGTTTTGTTCTCCGCCGCCGTCCATCTTCAGCTCATCCTCGGTGACCTCTTCTTCCTCCTCCTCCTCGTCGACCCTGTCCGCCTTCAGCTGCTCCTCCTCCACCTTCTGCTCCTCCCTCTCGTCTTCCCTCTCATCCACCACCCAGGCCACTCCCGACTGGTCCTCGCCGGACTTGCACTCCGCATCCTTGATGGCTTTCTGATAGAGCTCAGAGAAACTTCTGCAAAGCAATAACAGACTGCGTGAGAACAAAACTCCCGAGCTTTATTGCATTATGACTTACAAATTGAACAAAATGAAGGCGAAGGCAGAGCGTTTCCTGTGAGCCGCCTCTTTCTGCTACATAATTGTGATAATTTATGTTTTTTGTCTCAGAAGGAGCAATGCAGGGTTGAGTAGATTAAATCTCTCTTGCCAGCTTTGTGACATTATTTGGAGCTGTAAGCAGTAGAGATGTCTGGCTTGATAATGTCTTACTTTATCCCAGCAACTCTGTTCACAGCTGTTTCTGCCGTCGCGCCGCTGTCAGTTAAGCAGAAACGTCCTGGTTACAGTCGGCCAAACCGTGTCAGTGTGATTAAACATCATTAAAAAGGATTTACTGGTTGTTGGCCAGCTGATTACAGACTGTCATTAGCAGCATAGAGAGCTGTGTGCTATTTCTGACTCTTGTCTTTTTCTGGACCATCTTGTCCCTCTAACTCCCTCCAACTCATTCGCTGCCTCGACCCCTGCAGTGGGCCGCCTCTCGGGTTCACAGTCTGTCTCTGACGAGTAGAAAGACTTCTGTCCAACCTGCGAGGTTTGCCGTTCTCATCCGGTGGGATGACGGTGATGTGGATCTTGTGTGCCGTGCGGAGAAGCCTGCTCCTCTCCTCGGGGCTCAAGTGGACCAGGGAATGTCCGCACAGCCTCACCACGCGAGCCCGCAGCTGCAGGCCTCCACTCTCGGCGTAGCAGAACCTCTGCAGGTCCGTCACGAAGCCCTCCTCGTTCATGAGGAAGCCAGGCTGCCCCACTCCGTCCCGCAGCGGGGTGACCTCCAGCGCCTCGCAGCCCCGCGTCACCAGCTGAAGAACAACAGGACACGTGAATCAAAAATTACGTTCGATTTTTTACACTATCATCATGTAAAAAATGCAGTATAATGTTTAATGTTCCCATTTTGTCATTTTGTGGCCACAAATGAACTGCAGAAAGCAACAGCTCAGGTAGAAGAGTCTCCCAACAAAACATCAGTCATGCTTCCTGGAGCAGCTTGGGTTAGGTCCTTATGAATCAGGTTAATTTACATTTTTTGCACAAAATCATTCTCACATAATTAGATTTTAGTTTTTAGCTCCTTTCATGATGGGCGGGGCCTCTTGTCGCTTTAAATCCAAATAAGCTGCTGAAGGCCACGCCGCCCAGTTTAATGTTTACACTCGCACTTCAAAGTGGCTGGAAACGGATCAGCGATCATACAACTGTACATCTTTGAAAAGTGAAAGTGGAGCCTACTGCACAACCAATAAGAACGTAGTAAGTGGTTTCTGGATAGCAAATCAAAAAACAAACGACAAAACACATCTTTTCCAGCAGCCATTGCACAATGGTAAAACCAACTGAGCAAACATGCTGGAGCTACGTAGGGGTTGCTAGGTAACAGCGCAGTGTGACTCAATGAATGGAAGGTTTTGAAACGGCTCATTTTTCAGACACCAAAAAACATTAACGTCTTGCCAGAAAATATGTGCATATTGTTTTTAAGAGCTGGGCTCTTTTTATGAACAGTTGGGATCCAAATGGAAGTAGAAAAACTCTCAAATGTGAAATTCTCATAATAAATTCCTCTTGAAATTGCTATGAAAGCTTTATCATAGCACCACATACCTCAAGCCTTTGCACTACTTCCTTTATGTCCTCTGTCTGACTCTCCAACATGCTGATCGATACGGACTCCCCGCGCTCATAGAAGATGTCCAAACACGGCCCCCCATCCTTCGTTTCTGTCACCGCCTTCCATCCGATGACGTCTCGACAGGAGCAGTTGAACACCACCCTGCGACTGCCCCTCTCGATGAGCACCACCGACTCCGCCGACACTCCAAGCAGACAGGGGAACTTCTGCTGCTCACCGGCCTCCGAGTCGTCTCTGCAGCTGACCATCACCGCCCACACCAGCGCTCCGGCGCTGTGCAGCTCAGCGCCTTTCGCGCCCTTCATCTTGTCTTTCCGCTTGCTCCCCAAAGAGAGGAGGGGGAACTTGGTGGAGGAGTCGATGGGGGTCGTGGTCACGTAGTTCTCCGCCAGATCCTTCAGGTATTCCTGCCGAGTGCGCGTGGCCATGGAGCGAAACTTCTCCGATTTCTCTGCGGCGTTCTCGGCGTTTACCACCTTCGCCAGGAGGAAGTCTCTGAAGGCAGGCGAGCGAGGGAACCGGGCGCCCCTGGGGAACAGGGGCCCAAATAACGGGATGTCTTTGGAGCGTGTCACAGCCACTCTGAACAGAGAGAGAGAGAAATGAAAGAGTGTGAAATGTTCAGCAAAAACACTCAATCTATGTCCTGTTTGCAGTGTAGCTGTGTGATGCATGCTGCAGCGGAGGAAGAGGAGTGTTTTCTCCTGAGGCGCCTCACACCTTCAGTGATGTGACTATTACACCAATAGTAACAGCCAACTTAACAGTGACTCCCAGCACGGCGGCAAAAAGAGTGTAAATTCTCTTTTCTCTCTTTTTTTGTGTATTATTGACACTTTAACCAGTTGTTTGTACAAACAACATAAAAAGACACAACATTTGTTTCTCAGTTTGGCATTAAATTGACTAAACTACTCCAGTTTTAAGCTAGTGAGGACGTTATACATGTCAAAATATGGTGCGAGATTTTTTTTTTTGTTTTGTTTTGTTTTGATTTAGTTCCTGAGTGCATTTATAAACTTTGATCTGACTTTTGGAGTAATGGCTTCCAGCTGTGTGTCCATCCTGTCCATTTTGGCTCAAGACTTGTTTCACTGTTGATAAAGACACTATCTTACCATTTTCAGCCACCTGTGTTACTTGATGTCTTTTCTCCATAATGTCACACAAAAATGGCGCATTTGCTGTAAAATCCATTCACCTATGTGACATCAATTAACTCAAGTCTTTACATCATCGTCTGGCCTTTTCATAAATGTGCAAAGGTAATCTTAATAAGTGTAAATTTGTATCTTTGAAGAAAATGATAAAAATGCTTAAAACCTCTTTCATTCTTCTGTCATTGGAGAAATAAAGCTTATTTTGGATAATCTATTGAAACTAAAACAAACCATGTTGAACTTGAACCCTTAAAAGGCTGAGTAAGTGCATAAGATAAATATAAAACTGATAAATATCGGTTATCGGTCAAAACAGCGATAATATCGGACATAGTGTATCATCAGTCTAACATTTCTATATCGGTGAATCCTTTGTTAAAAGTATTTAAAAAGCGTATTACTCTGTAACAAACTGGTTGCTTACATGTAATATTGCCTGTTCCATGGAGTTGGATAATAGAAAACCTCTTTTGTGAGATATTAGAGGCTGATGACAGGAGCAGAACAGCAGAAAGAATCACCTGTAGTAGGCGTGGTCGGTGCCGGCCTCGTGAGCCTGAACGATGATGAAGACATGCTGGAAATGTGAGCGGATGGACTTCGGGGTGAAGGGCAGAGCACCTGGCTCCTGGAACACGATCGTCACGATGTCGTTTCCGATGTGTCGCTTCCTCAGCAGCTGATGACGAGACAAAAACCAGGACACAAAGAGTTAAACAAGGTCACCACACATCACTGGACAATCCTACTTTATTTTCCTAAACACGTTGACATGATGATATTTGTTTGGGTTCCTTTCTCACTCTCAACGACACATCTTTAAGGGGATTTCTCCTTTTAGCTTGTTACTGCGGCACAGAGTCTCTTTAGCTGACCTATGCAACTCAGGCCGGGATGCAGTTTGCACAGCATTCAGATTGAGACTTTAAATCCACACTGAGACTGATTTCAGCAGATTTTTGTTTTGCAAGTGAAAGACTTTAGAAGTTTTAATTGTGTTTTACTTCCATTTTTATAGACTTAAGCCATAAAATATGTGCTAACACAAAAACACGCCAATTCATATCACAGCTCATACATGAGAAACCTGACGGTTTTAGACATTTTGCTAAAACACACAAAAAAAGTAATGTCACTTTAAAAACAACACACTTACCCTCAATCAAACTCAATTTATATTACATGTTTTTTTTTTCTATGTTCCTGTTCACAAATGCCTTAGATGTCAATGTAATGCTAATGAAAAGAAAACAACCACTTCCTTGTTGTTGCATGTTTTGAGACCAAAACCTGCACCAATATATTTTTATCCAATTATTATTTTATTGATAAACTAAAATCTTATATCTTTCAATTGATGAGTAAATCATTCATAATTCGCTTATTTAAATCATGAATGCCTCAAAAAATTAGCAACTGTTACAACATTTTGAGACAGTGCAGAAGAATATATATATCTATCTCTTTTTGCTTCCCTATTTACAATATATTCAGACAGCCTTGAAGTGAATTTGTGCTAATTTTGTACTTTGACCTCATAATTCACACACTTGACTTGAGAAGTTAAGACTTTTGTATGTCTGTTTTAATGATTGATAAAATAAAAGGCATCTTAAGATTAAATAAAATAAGATTTCATACTTTGAACATTAAGAAACTTAAAAGAAAACTTCAGTTTATTTCTAGATAAGGGTTACTTGCTAAAAATGGGGGATCCGATCAATATGTCTTTGTTTTTACATTTGAATACAAGATGAGGATGACATTTCCAGTTCCTTTGTAAATGACAGGTTTAAACCACAGACATATGTGAACAGGAAGGAAGGACCGCTGAAAACGACGAAGGTGGGAGTGAAGACTCGGAGGGTTTGTCATGTTTGTTTAAGTGAACAGAAGATTTTTGTGAAAGCAAGACAGTCTGAACAGAGAAGTGTGATGAAGGCTGCACAGATACTAATGCAATGTTGCAAAGACAAAAAGGAGAAGTATGTGAGAGTAGTTCTATGAAACCTAAAAGACTGGCAAGAAAAAATTATGCTGTAAAATGGAAAGGAGGAAGAAAGGTATACGGTTGCATCTCCATAAATTACAATGTGATTGGAAAGTTTATCTCAAACTCATTTAGATTTATTACACACAAGATGGATAGATTCAAACATTTGTTTCTACAAACTTTGATTACTTTGTCTTACAAAAATCCAAAATTTAGCTTCTACATGATATTTGAAGTTCACCCAGGATCAATTTAAAAAAAAGCTTTTTCACTGAAAGTATGTCTACATGTTTTCCAACTGCACTGTTTTTTTCCTTCCACTTAACTTTCCACTTCTGTGGTTTTCACTCACTATGAAGGATGTTGTTGACTACCTGCTGCTTCATGATTATGTGGGCCACAACATCACATTTCTGTGATATCATCCCTTCGTCTATTAGTATCCTAATTTTTTTCGACAACTGAATTTCAGTTTTTCATTCAGAGTGAAACAAAATCCTCAAAATGATCAGAAACACAAAGGTAAATTATACCCATCTAAATTAAATCGTATATGTGTCATGTGTCAACAACCCTCGGATGATATTCTCATCTCACCTGCTGCGTGTTGTTGGCCGTGTAGGGCAGCATGGTCGACACGTGAAACATGATCTCGTAGTCCTGGTAGCGCGTGTAGAGGGAATGCGTTCCAGTGGAGTCGGCTGCGTTTGCACAAAAACAGAGAAACAGACCCGGAGAGGAATCAGTCACCATCTCCGAGTTGAAAGCACAAACTGTCGCGGTCCGGCTGAAATCTGAAGGGAATAAAGCTCGGAGATAATCAGCAGCGACTGCGCCGTTTCCCAGTCATTACTCAGATTACATGTGGCGAGATAGGAGTTATCTCAGGCTTTCAGTGGGACACTGATGCCCTTCGGATACCGGCACTGCGACAAAGTGAGATGCAGCTAATAGATGGAGTGGAAGGGGGCGAATGCGGCTCACTCTTGTTATCCAGCTGAGCTCGGTATTTCTCCCAGCCCTTCAGCCGCACCCGCTCTCCAAGCAAATCCAGGAACTCCTCGAACGCTGGCCCAGAGCTCTCGTTGTTGTACATGTCCTCCTCGGAGCTCTGTCCGGCGCGGCAGTACATCACGCCGACCTTCCTCTGAAAGTTCAGCTGCACAAAGAGAGAGCGGTGCAAACATTTCAACGCTCATTCATATTTACTTCTACGATATTTGAAACCTCGGTCTGGAAATTTCATGCTAGAAGCTTATTGATTAAATGTTTATATTAGATCTATAAAATTTAGGTTTTAACCCAGTGTTCAAATAAATTCCATATCACATTTGGCACCAAAGTTCTGCATCAAAATAGTTTTGTATTTCATAATTTAACAATGAATAGCTTCAAAAAAAAAAAAAGAATAAAATTCACACAAGAGGTGTATGTAAACTTTTGACCTTCTATGTAGACGAAGACATGACAGAGTTTATACCAGGAGAGTCCAAGATTTGTGCAAATCTTTGTAAAACCTAAACTTCTGCCTAATTAAAAAAACATTTATAAATAAGGCAGCTACATTACAGATTTATTTTGGGTTTGATTGAAGAAAACTGGAAAAGATTTAATCTATTCTCAGCAATAAAAAAATGATAATTTAGGTTACTCGTTTTTTTTAATTACTGTATTCAGTAAATACAGTAAAGTTTCAATAGTTAAAAACTGTGATTGCATATTAGACCTCAAGTCACATAAAACATAAAACCAGAGCTGGAAAATTTTACTTTTTTCACTGTGAAACTTAGAATGACAACATATACTGTACATTTCTTAAAATATGAATACTTATTGTGTTGTGTCTGACATTTTTATGGGAAGATTTTGATTTGTGGATCATATTTTTGTTGTAATTGGGGGAAAAAATGTCTCCATCTGCATCAAGCACAAATTTTTTATCATATTGCAGCACAAAATCAGTTCGATGCTAACTTTTAGCGGCAGGTTCTAGTATCCCGGATGTGACGTCACTCACCCCCTGCTCGTCCAGCTTGAGCAGCGTGTCCCGGACCTTCGGGGAGTTGGACGCCAGGCGGAGGCAGTGCAGGTTGAGCTCAGGCATGATGAACTCCAGCAGCCTCTTGGGGGACAGGCCCCTCGGGGTCGTGTGACGGGCGGCCGACGGCACGGACTCCTCCAGGATGGAGCCTCGAAGCGTCTTCATCTGAGCAGCGGGTCCAGCAAGTTACTTTCACAAGCTCATAACCAGAAGAGAGGGCTGAAAAAAGGGACAGCTCTTTACCTCTGTGGTGCGGAAGATGATTCTGTAATTGTACTGAGCTCCGCTGGACCCTTCTTTCTCATCCCGCCGGAAGCTGATGGCCACAGGGCCGAGGCGGTCATCAATCCCAAAGAAGTTCTGGTGTTCTGGAAGAAAATCAGAGAAATGTAAATATGACTATCATGATGGACAGAAAATACGAGTTGCAATGATGTTAATATTAATATGAGGATAATGTTAGAAAACTGAAAACTCCCGCCGTTGCAGGGAGTGAAGTTCATCAGAGGGCGCTCTGCTGTGATACAGTAGATTGTGAAAATAACTTGATAGACACTGGAAATCCAGTTGTTATGAATAAATTGGCAATATAAATACTCACAGGACATTTAAAGAACTTGATACAATTTAAATAAGCAAAAATATCCAGGCAGACATTTGGAACTTGCGACTCAATTAAACAACATACATTGAAAACTGCAGGCAGTAAAAATTTATAAAATCACAAAACTTTATGAAATGGAAAAAGGGGTAAAACTTTTTTATTTTTCTCTCATTCTCATCCAGTACTTTCTCATGTCATCAGAAGACACTTCTGCTCATATTGTCTTGAGCAGAAGTGCTCCAAACAGGCTAATTTTAGCAAGAGTATGTGCATCATGAATGAACATGGATGATATCAAAAGTACTTAATTTATAAGGCTCTCTAAGACAGAAACAACCATTATTTATTAAGATGAATGTACATTGTTTTTATCTCAGATATATCCTGATGCTGCTAAGTGCAAAATTATTCCTACCAGATTTAGGTTTAAAGTTGTGGTGAAAAATAGAGGAACAAACTTTATCGGCAGACTAATAAGGATTATTATGAAACACCAAAAGGTTTGTGGTTAACTAAAAAAATATCCTACAGGAAAATGTCAAAAGAATCAATCACACTATCGCTCATAAACAGGCCGATCAATCAGCATTCAAAGAGCTAACGCTAGCTGAATGGCTAAACCTGAAACCAAATAGTTTATTCTTACTCAGTAATATTCCACTCATTTTGAAATATTACTTCCAATGTGACTGGAAGTAATATTAACATTTTGGAGTGACTCGGCTGCAGTCCTGACTGATAGAGAAGCAGCGGAGGGAGCCTTCCAGTCTCAGAGAGTTGAGCAAACCTGCTGCATGTAAATGAAAAAAGATCAATATTTTCTTTCTTTGCTCCTGATACTCTGGAAGCACCAATTTTTAATCTTTTGAGACGTGGATACTTAATTTTCATTCAGAAACAAACTTCTTGGTCGGATGAAAATAATTTGACATCAAGTCAAACTCTGTTCATAATTTTGACTGGTGATACTAGTCAAAATGATAACTAATATCATTTTGACTAGAAGGAAAGCCATTATTAGTACAACTGGTACAATGATACTGTACACAGTATTACTGATATGTTTTGTAAAATATTGGAGAAACTTAATCTCCTACCAAAAGTAGAAAAAATTCCATGTTAAGAAATAATCATTAACTCAACCATAGGCTGTCCTGTGATTATGGTACTGCTGCCATCAGCACTTTGTAGGATAAGACTTGTTTTTTTTCTAGAACATTTTCACAGAGGTGCAGAAGAAGAAGAGAGATATTTGACAATTTCTCTTATCAATCTCTAAGGATCCTCCTCAGTCCCGCTTCTCTTCACCTCAACCCAGCTGTGTTGATTTGGCTATACTTTGGATTCTCAAGCTGAATCTTTGGTTTTCTGGAAAAGGTTTTTATAAAAAGTTTCCCTGTAGCTTTACGACTCCAACAAGGTTCCCTTGGCCTTGGAAAGAGATGCACAGCCTCCACCGTACTTAACCTGGAGATGTTTTCTCCACATATTGATCCTCTGTTTCATGGCAAACCCACCTGCAGCTCTTGTTGCATTTAACTAAATTCTTAACGTCTCAGGCTGATCGTCCCCACGGCGCTTCTTTCACCCAAAAGGAGCCCCAACGAAGAACTGAATCTATATGCTGTTTATAGGTGTACTTATATTTATGATAAAAGGATCAGCTGAGGTAGAGTACTTAAGAAAATTACTCAGTAAGAGTTTAACTACCTCCACATATTTTTACCCAAGTAAAAGTAAAGAGTATAACTGTCCAAGAAATTACTCTCAAGAATAAAAAAGTATTTGGTAAAAAGTCGACTCAAGTACAGAATGACTGATCAAATTATCAATCATTTAATATTTAAAAATTGCATGATCAGACAGATCAAAGTATAGACAGATCAATAATTCATACAAGCGACAAAAGAAATTAAAAAAATAAAAGGCTTTTGGAGCGAAAGCTCGGGCCCAATAGCAAAATCAGCAAAATTAGATTTTTCAAAATAATTTTTTTTCTGTAAAAAAACTGATGAAACTTTAACGAAAGCTGCAGGTGTGTCTGTGTCAAGTAATTTTTTTTAAATTAAAACATGTTTGAATAGAGATACTTTATAAAATGTAAAAGGTACAATGCAGTAAAAATATTAAGAGTAATTTAAAAGATAAATATATATATAAAATTGAGTAAATGTGACTGGTTACTATCCAACTCTGAACAGGACATGAAATGTGTTTTTTAGGACAGTTTTTTTTTATGGCAGACTAATTAATGAAACTAAAAGTTGATTTTTTGGTCATGCTCCTCCAACAACAGAAGATTTTTTTCACAATATTTTCCAGACCTTTTCTAGGAATATATCTGCTTCTCGTTGTTGCAGATTTCTGCATGTTGTTCTGCTTTTACTAATTTTGAATCCTGAATGAAACCAGACAAAACGTAAAGCTCCCTCCCACCACAGTGCCGTGTCTCTCTTACCTTTCAGGTAGAAATATTTGCGGTAGTAATGCGCTCCCAGGTCTGCGTGCTCTATGAAGTAGTTGCTCTTCCCCTGCAGCTGGATGTTGCTCTCCCTGGGCTCCTCCAGCACAGACACGGCGTCGTTGGGGGTCCGCAGGGTCGACCAGAGCTCCCTTCTGCCAGCCGACCGCCCCAGGCCCACCTGCTCCTCGCCTCCCGTCTCGTTACGGAAGTGCGGACAGCTGAGCAGCAGCTCGTTATCGTTGCCGTCGCCTTCGTCCAGCAGCAGCGACTGCTCCTGGTCGTCGGCGTTCCCTCCGCTGCCACCGCCTCCCTGTGCTGGTGAGGCAGGTGTGGACTGGGCGAGGGGGCGGAGCTGCGAGGCAGCCGACGCCCCTGAGGTGATGTTCTTCTTGCGACCGATGCTGTCCCTGTTTGTGGCGACCTCTGTGAGGTCAAACAGGATGCTCTGAACATCGTAGTGGGCAAAGTTCCTCACCCACGCGCCGCCGCCCAGGTGGTCGTACGGGCCGGGCTGAGGGATCTGAGGGGGCGTAAGTTTGGACTTTTTACTAAGACCTTCAGGCTTGGGTGGTTTCGCGGGTTTCGGGGAGTCTCCACCAGACCTGGTCAGATCTCGGAAGAATCCATCCGGCTCTGGAAGGTTGCCCTCCAGGCCTAAAAGCAGGAAAGGGTCTTTAAAGCGGAGAGCGTTTGGACTCAGGGGCCCGTGGTTCTCCCTGCTCGGCTCCTGGCCTTGACTTTGTCTCTCCAGCGACGACAGGCTGCCGTACTCCCTGTGCAGATGCCCACCTGAGTCTCCCTGAGGCCCTGTGCCCGTTTTCTCACCTGCTGCTCGGATTACTTTCCCTGACGTTTTCCCAGAGGAGTCCAAGTCTCCCAGGGTTACATCGCTGTTACTTCTTTGCATGATGTGGCCCCGCCCCACCGACCGCAGAGTCAACCCCACGCGGCTCGGCGTGAGGCTGCAGTCTGCATCGGCGCCGTCGCCGGGCCTCCTGGGAGGCCACTCCACCACTCCCGCTTCCCGTTTGTGGTCAAAATTGACAGTGGCGAGGGGCGGGCGCATGTTCTGGCGGCGGAACTTGCGAATGAAGAGGTCGTCTGACTGCATGGTGTCTGAGGAATCAAACCTAATCTGACAATCTTCTCTCTGGAGCTCCCTGCTTAACTCTTCATCCAGGTGTCTGAGGTGCTGGTGTGAAACTGGGATGCTGAGTATGAAAATGGAAAATCCAGCTAAGTGAAAGCAACTATTATTATTTCATTCACACCACCTAAGATGGATGAACTCTCTCGACCTCTGGGCTCTCATAAGGGCCTCTGTGGGACACCGCACTTTGTCAATGAGTTCTTGAGTGGGAATGATGAAGTCGGAAGGGAAACCGCACTGTTGGTCGCTGGACGGGTCCATCCACGTGTGCAGATATGCATTTAGTTTGAGTTAAACAAGCGAGGATCATCACTGGAGCCCGTCTCTATGCCCTCTGTGTCGGAGAGCTGCTGCCCTTGTCAAGCGGTCAAACATGGCATCCCCTGGTGTGCACTGCCCAGCGCCTGCAGCCGTCATCCACAGACCACCTGTGTGGAAAAAAACAGAAAAAAACCCTGATTTAGCTTCGGACTCTTTATTAAGATGCTAGAGTGAAACCTTTACCACTGGATTTGCAAAAGTGTTTTCACCTCTCAAACCTTTTCACCTTATGTTGCAACTAGAAACCAGAAACGTATCAAAATTATTATTTGATCGACCAACACAAAGCCGCACATAACTGCTTAACCGAGTGGAAAACAAAACATTTTCTGATAAATGAAAACTTGTGTGTCTCTTATTTCATCTTTCATCTTCAATCTTTGGGGGGCGTCTTTCTGAGCTTTGCTAGAGATGGAGACTGATTTTATCCCTCCTATTCTTTACAAAATAACTTAAGGTCTTGGACCGGATGGAGACTGTCTGTAAATATAAACTTTCAATTTGATTTAGAGCTAAACCTTGACTTGGTCATTCTTGCACATAATCTAAGCCGCTCTAGCTGCATGTTTGAAGTCGTTTTTCTGCTTTAAGGTAAACGTCTGATATCAGGTTTGTAAGTCAGACATTTCTTCCTGGTTTGCCTTCTGTTTAGCTCCATCCACCCTGCTATCCCACTCATGATGCTGCCACCACCAAGTTCAACTATGAGGGTGATGTTTTTACAACTGCAGGCATAGTTAGTTATTCACCAGACCTCTTGTTTAGGTTTAATCTTCATTTTTAGCTTTTGGTAAACTACAAACTGGACTTCATATGGCTTCAACAAATCACCTTCATAAAGAAAAGTTTTCCCACCTCAACTCTGGGGGAGCTGCAGAGTTACCAGTACTGCTTCTCCACTTAATGATCTCCCTACAGTTTTTCTGGCATAAGCTTCTGCACAGCTTTGTCCTGGATCTATTATTCAAAAAACGTACAATTTTTTTTTTGTCTCTCATATCCCTGGAAAATACACTGAAATGTATGCCAGTGATGTCACAAAATGTGGAAAAAGTTCTCGGGTTGTGAGTGCTTTTGCAAGGCATTGACTATAGAACATAACGCAGCACGCAAGAGATTCCAGGAAGGCTTTATAAAAAAAAATAAACAAGCACCAGATCCAAACAATACCCCAGCAAGCAGCCCTGACATGCGTTTTATTGTGGCGTAATACTCCGCTCCTCTGTTTTCTCATTATTATTCTTTCCTTTAGTCACTTTCCGCTCCAAAGTTTCCCTAAATAGTTCAAACTTAAAGCTGAGCACATGCTCACAATAGACCTTATTAAAACAGGGGAGGGGGCCCTTCCTGGCTCACTGACTGTCTGCCAGCACACGAGAAAAATAAGTGCAGGCCGCCTCGCTCCACCACATACGCTTACACACAAACAAACACGGCTGGCGTCTAACTCACCCACCAAACTCTAAAACAGCTCACACACACTCATTCAGCTCCATGTAGTTTTTGGTGCTTTTAATAGAGTCATTTAAAAACCCACAAAATTGTGCTACAAGTCATAAAATCGTGAGCTTCCCTTTTTTATAAGTGGAACTAAACTCCATGGAGGTTTTTAAGAGCAACTTACCCTAAAAGTGGATCGTGAGTTTGGTAAAGATGAGCCTGCTTCTGTCATTATCTGTCACTCGAGCGCCGTCTTTAACCAGACTTACGTCAAGCAGCTCGAGCTGAAGCCTTTTGTCGCTGTCAATAAGGTACAGGGCTTCTTCCTGTCTGACTTTTTCACATGCATCTTCCTCTTGCTTGCAGCCGTACAGAGCAGGTGCAGAGGTGCAGCGCGGCGACCAGCAAAAAGCCCGATGCACACGCGTACCCAGCTGCGTCTCTATCGTCTGACAGGACGGCATGCAACGTAAATCACTTTGTAGCTTCTATTTGAGAATTTTTATTTGTTTTAAGGAAGAAGAAAAGCCCCTGTAGGGGGGATTAAGTAAACGCATGTCCTCACAAAATGTACAAACTCACACACACACACAAAAATTCACAGAGTCAAGAGAGGAAGTCACAAGAAATCTTTGCTTCCCTCCATGACTGCTTTAACACTCTATTCATTTCCGCACAGTCAGAGAAAACGTTAGTATTTGTTAATTTTTCAGTGAAAATCCATTAAAGAAAGATGGAAGCAGGATGGATCCCAGTATCTGGAGGGCAGATTCTCGATTTGGTTTCAAAACCAAATTGAGAAATGACGATGCAAAGAGGAGGCCGATATCAGAGGAAATGCTTGAGCTCTTTGCAAGAAATGAATGACTAACTGCTACGACACAGAGACGAAGCACCAACTTCAACACAGACTAATGCACAACTTTGGGATGAAAGGAAGGCGTTACACAAATAAAAATCTTGAGTATTTGGTGTGCATTTCTTCTCATTCCCTTCTCTCCTGACACGCCAACATCTGGTGTAGCCGACTGTCAGGGTTCATCTGCACTCTGCCTCCACGGGGATCACTTATGGCATTAAACTCACTTCCAGCTCTGACCAGCTTCCCTGTCTCCACTGAAGAAAAGCATCATCACAGCATGATGATGCCACGACTGCGGCACAACGGGGACGGCTCTCTTTGAACCGAGCTCTTAAAACTGCACTGCAAAATTATTCCCCCCCCTTGAGGCTTTTCTTCATTTTGTCATGTTACAGAAACAGACTTTAGTCTACTTTAAAAGGACTCAATGACGCCGCTGACACAAATTAAAGCACAATTATTAGGTGAGAGTAAAATAATCCAGGATTTTTCAAATTGAAAAGTGTGACTCTCATTTCTCTTCACCCCCTTTCACTTTGATACCCAAAAATAATATCCAGTGCAACGAATTGCACGGGTTGAGCCGAACCATTTCCTTTTGAGCTGGTTTTGGACAGAAACAGATACCAGGATGTACATTTTAAACACTTAAAACAAAGCTTTCACCATGAACAAGCATGACAGGTGGAATGAAAATGTGATCTGTAATTTTCCTCAATGCCACACAGGGCTGTAAAAATAAACGTTAAGCTTCACTGTTTCTACTCATTACATCAGAGGAATAATTGTTTTATGTTTCCTTACAGAAACCAATGAATTACACAGAATAACATTTTATTTGGGACCTTTTCGCTCATCCAGGTTTCCTGTATTGTGTGGTTATCCTTCTGACAGGCCAGCATTGGTTCACAGTGAAAGCTCTGTGCTCCAGCTACATGATGCCAAGGCTTCTTACATTGAAAACCCGCTCATGTTTCTCACAAAGAGCTTTCAGATGTTTCTAAACAGCACTGCCAGTGCAGACTCATGCAGTTTCTAGCAGATCGTAATGCTATGCTGCAGGATTGTGTGTGTGTTTTCATAGTGTTGGTAAAATCACCTGGCTCTTAACGCGAGACTCGTGAACCGGGGTTTGTCTGAAGCAACGCTTCTTTGTGGGGGGGTTTTTCTGCTGCACCACGGATTCACAATGACCAATCAGGTTCATAGCTGATGACGTCAGAATCAGTGACCTCAGCCTGACTTGACTGGAATCATTACAAATGACACAAACAATAAGAAAAGAAAATGATGATCAAAGAAATATTATAATGTTGTATTTTAATGACAGAGAAATTTTTGGTTCCATATGTAACAAGTCTGAAGCAGCAGGTATAATTCTGTAAAGTTGTTGAATAAGTTTGTAGCTTCAGTAAGTCGCTGATTCAAATCTTTTTCAATTTGCTTGCGTTGACAGATTGGCCATAAAGCCTCTCTTCAATTTGCCTCATGGATGTTTGCCAGACAGAGAGATAAAAGTACGGGGTACAAAATCCTGTCAACATAGTTTTTGCCAAATTTCTCTTATGTTTCAACACAGAAATATATGGAAGTCCTGTTTTTACTGAATAAAAACTAAGTTAAGGCTAAGACAAAATGACCAGCTTCCCAGCTTCTGCGCGAGAATTAAAGCCAGAGAGTGAAACAGATGTTTTGATGCTTTGTTTTCATCGTGCAAGTGTTTCTCAGAAACCCAAACGAAACCGAACTGTGTGGTGCAGAGTAGTGATTCTCAGGCTTCGTCCTGGATGTTTTAAATGTGTCTGTGCTCCAAAACGCCAGAATTAAACGACTGGACTACTTCCTCAGTTCAGTCTTGAATCTAAAATTTTGTGTCGAAGAGGCAAAACATCAAGAATCGAAGCTGAAAAAAGAAACAGCTGCTGAGAAAGTGCATCAACAAATAAATCTTTGTATATGAAATTAATATGAAAAATTTGGAAAACGTTTGATTTTGAAAGCATATCTCACCATTTCTTATAGACTTAGAATTAAGAAGTCAAATTGCTTTATAAATCATCCGATAGATTTGCTTGAAAAATGTGTTTGAGTTTCTGAAATTAATCCAAAAGGTTCCTACAGAAGAGCGAATCCTGGCTCCTGTGTTTCGTTACATTGGAAAGAAATAATGATAAATTACTTTCCATATATTTAACAAGCCAATCATTCATCTTCTCACCTTCAGTAAGACGTCAGGCCTTCGATTAGATCCTCATTGATCTCAAGCAGCGTTAAACACGCAAATATCTTTTTGACTAACCAGAACTTGTCACTGAACAAGTCGTGTGCCAGCTGTAGAGAAGTTTGAGATATACCTGACCCAGAAGTACAAAGAGGAAGAGAAAGGTTTTAACTCTGCCCCCTCAGGTTTCTGCTCATCTTTAACGGCAGCCTAGTCCGGGTAATTCAGCTGAATTTCCCTGCTGCGTGTATCAGAGTATCTTCTGAAATGACACAGATATGTCCTGAATTGCTTCCTCTGATTTTTTTTTTAGCTGCTCGGCTTTGTCTTTCAGCTACGCCCCCCGAAATAAACAGAGAAAAACAATTGCTACTAACCCAACTTGTGGGATTAAAAGGTTGTTTTTGTGTTTTGTCTTTAAAGAAAAAAGTGCAAGTATATCCAGATGTATGATATTTTTAAGTGTAAATGTTCCTTTCTGATCATGAGATAAGATAAACGCGTGAAGCTTTAGTGAAATAATTAAAGAACGCATTCGAATGCAACCTGTTCTGATCACATCTTCAAATGCATTTATTTTGTGT